TGTCTCTCTCTCTCTCTGTCTCTCTCTCTCCTCTCTCTCTCTCTGTCTCTCTCTCTCTCTCTGTCTCTCTCTGTCTCTCTCTCTGTCTCTCTCTCTCTCTTCTCATCTCTCTCTCTCTCTCTCTCTCTCTCTCTCTCTCTCTCTCTCTCTCTCTCTCTCTCTCTCTCTCTCTCTGTGTGTGTGTGCATGTGTGCGCGTGTCTCAATTTCTCTCAATCTGAATGGAACCCAGTTGTCCACATGACATATGGCTTGCTGTCGTGGCAACAGGCCATGTTTCATCAGCATGGTCAGCAGTTTCAATCTCTATTGCCCCCCCCCCCCCCCCCCCCAACCCCCCCCACCCCCCCCCACCCCCCCCCCCCCACCCCCCCCCCCCCCCCCCACCCCCCCCCCCCCCCCCCCCCCCCCCCCCCCCCTCGACCCCCCCCCCCCCCCCCCCCCCCCCCCCCCCCCCACACACACACACACACAATTTTTCAAATTTTCCATGGAGGAGGTTTTTCTTCAGTCTTCTTTACAGACTAGTTTGAATGCAGCCATATTGGACAGGTTTTTGACCCTTTCGGGTCAAAGGGCAGACGTTCTTCCTTAGTATTTTCTGGTCAAGAGCAGAATTCAGGGTTCCTTCAGTTACAGCCAGTGGTCCAGGTCTTTAAAGAGCAAGTCACCCCCTACCAGAATCTTATTCCACTCCCACTTCCTGTTGGAAAAAATGCTGTTCTGGCAGACAGAGAGGGTGGAGCTGCTAACAAATACACACACACACACACACACACACACACACACACACACACACACACACACACACACACACACACACACACACACACACACTCAGGCTCACAATGACATTGTGACATCATATGGTACCTAAAGAGGGCACAACATTGACAGTTTTAGATAGAATATTTAAATTTGAACTAAGATGCTCAAAAGTGCTAAATTATCGACTGCATGTGTCTACAGCATGATCAGACACTCATTTATATAGTTTATCAGCAAAAAAAAGTTGATTTTGGGGTGACTTGCTCTTTAAGCGGCAAAGCAGTCCCAGACCATCACATTGCCACCACCATGCTTGACTGTTGGTATGATGTTAAATTTTTTTAAGTTTTTCTTTTGCCTAATCAGTCACCAGAATATTTTTCCAAGCTCTAGGGGGATATCATGAGGATTTTAAAAGACGTGACTCTTGGTGTTTTTGGTCAGTTGAGGTTTGGGAACTCTTCTGTGACACCATCTTCTAGCTTCTTGTCCAGTGTTGAATCATGACCTCTGATCTAGGACTGCAGTTCTTCAGATGCCCCAGCTTCTTTTTTTGCCGAGTTTCTTCAGACTGGAGCATGACTTGTTGCTTTTTGAGATCTTTTAGTCTGCTGGCATTACTTTAGTTTTATAAATCTAGCAGTGATCAGACCTGGGTGTGACTAATACAGATGAACTCAGCTTTAAAAACAATGTGATTAATCATAATTAAATAATTGTTTAATTAGAAGGGGTGTTTACTTTTTCACATTACTGTTACCTTTTGAACAATCTTTTAATGGTGGTAAAGAAAAAGATAAAATGTCTCATTGTTGACAGCGTCCATGGTTGAAATTTTTTCTGTCTCCTCTACAAAACTTAACATCTCCAAGTTAGTGCCCATTCTGGAAAGATATACGGATTTGAAATAATTCATAAACTTCATGTTGAATTAGCTACAAACAGAAGAGGGAGTTGATATGACACTGCTGTGGACAAACAGCTGTTACTTTGTTTTGCAATTTTAGATTTGACTTATGAGAATGTTTTTGAAAGAGAATCAGAGAAAAAATATAGCAACACCTAAAAGTAAATCACATCTAGTCATTGTAATTATGTATGTAAGTAATTACTGTATTTATAATTATTATCTGTTTGTTTTAAAGCAGGTTTAATACAATCACAAGAAGCAGTTTTTTGTATCATTAAATACGTTTAAGTTTAAAAGCTCCTTGATGTGTCTAATAAACTCTGATTCAGCAATGAAGGCTTTTACCCGGCCTGCTCGTGTTACTTTTCTATAAAGTGTTTTATTAAATCTTTGAATATAAAATTTATAAACAAAGAAACAAACATAGCAACAAGTGTTTTGTTTCTCAGTTCAATATTTGAGACATGGTTTGTGAAGAGGACAACTGCAGCAGAAGCTCGTAATCCTGGCCAGCTGTTGGTTTTGCTCAGGGACCCGTCAGATTAAACAAAAGATTAGCTCTGTTGGGTCAGTTGCTGGTGTAGAGGAAGGGTAGTTGGAATGCTATTTAGCAAACATCTGACCAAATGCTTTCCTAACAGTTTCCTTTAGGGATGCCCTGATGGTATTGCGTGATCGAAAATTGGGCTTGTGGTTTTACAAGGATCCAGAATCGGGTGGAAAAGATCGGACTTAAACTTATTAAACAACAAACATGACCTTCTAAATTCACCCTGAGACAGAAATTTTCTCACACAATACCAATGATTTAGTTTTAATTTGAACAAGTTCCTCTACATGAATGTTCTTTGTTTCTTGGACAAAAACAACACTTTAATGTTAGTTAGCTGTTAGCTAGCAGCCTATAAGGCAGAGCTAAAGTGTCACCTCAGGAGAGCTAATATCTGCAGCTTGGTGGTATTAAGTCAGAGAGTGAATGCAGTGCAACAGCCACCTGTGATGTGTGAATATTGGGTATTTAACACAGTGGAAAGTTAGGTGTGTGTCACTCAGGTGTTGCCATTAAGTCCCAGTTTGCCTCTAAATTCCTTTTACCAACAGCACTACTCAGCCAAAAACAGCTTGGTGCAGCACGGGTCAACACGGCTGTCGTCAGTGTCGGTGATAAGTATTTGAGACAAACACGGTGTGAGGAGATCAGTTGAACACACAAACACACAACACTGCACAACAATTCGTGTATGTATGTTAAACATCCTGCTCAGTCTCCGACTTCTTTTGCCAGACTGAAACCTGAAAACGAGGCAGCAGCCAGAAGTTCTCTGCATAAATGACTACACCCCCAATAAAAAGTACAAATTTAATCAGCTTAATGAACAAAAACAAAAAAACTATTTCCAGAATTTTCACAAGACTGGGTTTTATTGAACACTTCATTTTTTTGTTATTTATTTGATTTATTATTAACATAGAAGAAAAAAAACAATACTAACAAATAAAATGAGGTTTCTCAATCCAAGAAAATGAAAAGGGAACAGAAAGAAGAAAACTTATGTTATCTGCCCCTTTGTAACTAAAATTACATTTTTTTACAATGAAATAACAATAATTATGAATTAGCCTGTACAAAGTTATTGCTCGACTGGTTAACTAACTTGAGTTCAATTTGTAAAGAAGAAAGAGAAAATTAATAGTAATAATAATTCAAAAAGCAAAAGGATTTTTGCACATATACCTATTCATACATATATACATTAAAGTGCATCACATGCCCATATGGTCGCACATACTTCATCTATACATATACATACAGACGTACACATGTATCCACTACATATACACATACACAAACATACATACATATTTACACTTCATTAACTCCATAACACGGAATTAGGTTCAAAATATAACTTAGATCACAAAATCTTCTACCAAAATTGGTTGAAGCAAAAATGAATACACCCCGCAACAAACCCTACTACATCTAGTATTTTGTATGACCACCATGATTTTCAAGGACAGCACCAAGTCTTCCAGGCATGGAATGAACAAGTTGGCGACATGTTGCAACATCTTTCTTTTTCCGTAATTCAGGAATAACCTCTTTTAGAGCCTGGATGCTGGATGTTTGATTGGGTTCAGATCAGGAGACATTCAATCACCTTCACCCTGTTCTTCTTCAGAAATGCAACAGTAGCGTTAGATGTGTCGTGTTGCAAAAGTGCACGACGACCAAGTGCACGGAGTGATGGCAGCATCTTCTCCTTCAGTATAGAGCAGTACATTGTTGACCTCATGATACCATCAATGAAATGCAGCTCCCCAACACTAGCAGCACTCATGCAGCCCCCCACATAAGGACACCACCACCTCCATGTTTCACTGTAGGCACCATGCATTTCTCTTTGAAATCCTCACCTTTAAAACGCCATATTTGTCTCGTCACTCCAGAGTGAGTGAGTGTCCAACTGCTCGTTAAAGCAAATTACTAATCAGCCAATCACATGGTGGCAACTCGATGCTTTTAGGCATGTAGACACAGTCAAGACGAGCTTCAGAATGGGGAAAAGGTGATTTAAGTGACTTTGAACGTGGCATGGTTGTTGGTGTCAGACGGGCTGGTCTGAGTATTTCTGAAACGGCTGATCTTCTGGGATTATCACGCACAACCATCTCTAGGGTTTACAGAGAATGGTCTGAAAATGGGAAAACATCCAGTGAGCGTCAGTTCTGCGGGCAAAAATACCTTGTTGATGCCAGAGGTGGTGCCACTCTTGTCAGCCAAGAACAAGAAACTGAGACTACAATTCACACAGGCTCATCAAAATAGGACAATAGAAGATTGGAAAAATGTTACCTGGTCTGATGAGTCTTGATTTCTGCAGCGACATTCGGATGGTAGAATTAGAATTTGCAGTCAACAACATGAAAGCATGAATCCATCCTTCCTTGTACCAACCGTTCAGGCTGATGGTGGTGGTGTAATGGTGTGGGGGACATTTTCTTGGCACACTTTGAGCCCCTTAGTACTAATCGATCATCGTTGCAACACCGCAGCCTATCTGAGTATTGTTGCTGACCATGTCCATCCCTTTATGATCACAGTATCTTCTGATGGCTACTTCCAGCAGGATAATGCCCCATGTCATAAAGCTCCAATTATCTCTGGACTGGTTTCTTGAACGTGACAATGAGTTCATTGTACTCAAATGGCCTCCACAGTCACCAGATCTGAGAAAAAAAACCTCCAGATTTCTGCTTTTGTTCATCCATTTGTATCTTTCTCTCTAAAACGAAATCATTTCTTTTTGATTGCCCCTTAGATATCTGGAGTGAGCAGTCATTCCAAACCGACCCAGACCTGCCTCCAGGATGGAAGAAGATCACAGACATGGCTGGTGTCTACTATTGGCACATCCCTACTGGCACCACGCAGTGGGAACGGCCTTCCAGCCGTCCGCCTCCTCCCGGACAGACTGAGGCCCCGGCCCTGAGCGATCCCGCTGCATCAACACCACGTAAACAGTCGCTGGGCTCCCTCAGCCCCCTTCCCACTCCTGACCATGAGGTGAGACAGAAACAAACTGATCCTCATAATTTACTGGACAACTTGACGTTTTGTCCTTGTAGAGTTCTTCTTTCTCTGACAAGACATTTGCATTTAAAGTTTCTGCCTTTGTCCTAAAATAGATTTGCATGCGAATTGGCGTTTCTAGGTCAGAACAGCATTTGTAAAACAATTAATTACACAACGGAGTATACAATCCGACTTCTATAATCTGTTAAGCCACCCATATGTTGTGTAATTTTAGAATTTTTCCGACCTCGGGGCCAATCAGTGGTGATTATTTAAACACTCCTTTATCAGAAGCACGGTATTTTATTTTCTCGGCCAAGAAAATGTGTTTTTCTCTTTAATTCATGAGTAGATATGAGCATCCGTGGAAAAGCGGTCACGGATCATCTGTATCATTGCAGCATTCTGACAGCTGCTCACACACCTGTTCTACTTGTTTACATGCACGCAGTCATGCCAAGGAGAGATCTTCTTCAGGGCGTCGACTCGCTCGGGCAGCACCACGTCCGACAGTTCAGTGGAGCCCTTCTCCTCTCAGGAGCCCCCCCTCGCCACATGTGGATTCGTCAACAGCTGCTACTTTGTAAGCTTAAAACAACATTTTTTTACTTGATTATAACAGTTTTATTTTAGTTTAACCAAATAAATAATATTTTAATTGTCAAAATGTCTATTCCTGATTAGGATAAGCAAAGGGCTAGACTGAACTGTTAGTGCTCCAGAACAAGACGATGCCAGCGCAATCGGTCATTCGATCATGTGGAATGATAGATTAAAGAGGAAAGAGGAGAAGAGATTGATAGAGAGCAGCAAACGTGTAGATAAAATATTGATCAGGTGAAAATGGACTGATGTTGATGGATGGATGAGCTGGAACGAGACTCTGGCACGTTCGTCCTTAACAGTTGATCTCCACTCTACTCACGGATCAGAAAATGACTGCGACCGATCTCAATATGGAGATAGTGATCAGGATAGATGTAGATCTTTTAACACATTTTTTTCCTCTCTAGCCTCGTTCTACATCTCTACAGGGAATGCCTGATCAGGAATCTGACTCCAAGCAGGATGAAGACGAAGACAAGGTGAGATCCTCAGACTTTACTTATGCAGTCCCACTTCTTTTCTGATTTACGAGAAGTTGTGGGGAAGATGAAAAATATGTTCTTGTTAGTGAACTGAAAAGCAGCATTTGTCTAGTTTTAAAATGTAGGAGCAATACGAATTTGGATGACATTTATCTGCAGTGTCTCTTTACGGAGTTTTTCTGTTTTTGTGACGCTTTAACACTTTAGATCAGAAAATAATTGTTTTTATAAATTAGACAAACATAACCTGAGTAAAAACAAAAGTAGATTTCTAATTATTTCAGCCAATAAAATAGAGAAAAAAAAGCAATCCCAACCAACCTGGCTCTATGTGAAAAACAAACATAGCAGACAGCACTATGGAGGAATTTTAGCCCACTTTGTTTTGTAAAATTGTTTAAATTCAGCCACATTAGAGGGTTTTTCAGCATGAACGGTCTATGAAGCTCAAATGTCAGTTTTTATATCAACGACAGCAAGTGCTGCAAGTCCTGAAGAAGAAAAGCAGTCCCAGACCATCACACTACCACCACCATGTTTGACTGTTGGTATGATGGTCTTTTCCTGAAATGCTGTTAGTTTTACGGCAGATGTATCGGGAAGCACACTTTCTAGAATTTTTAGTTTTATCTTGTCAGTCCACAGAATATCTTAGGTGTGTTCTTGATGTGTCGTGGTTCTAATTCCATGCTGTTGTTCTATTTTTAAAACTCAGAAACAGTTTCGTTACCTGTTTTTTCGCTACGTTTCGTCTGCGGCTGCAGACTTCCTCAGGCTGACGCTGATGGTGGCGTCACTTCCTTCTCTGTTTATCCGGGGGGGGGGGGCTGTTTTGTGTTGTTTTTGGTTAGTAAAAAATCTTCATCTTGAAACTCTCCTACTGATGCCATTTTTGCTCATGTTTTTTTTTCTTATGATTGAGTCATGACCTTTGACCTTCGCCAAAATCAAGTGTGTTTGGTAGGGCTTCAGTTGTTCTTTTGTTGCTGAATTCTTTTACCCCAGATACCTAGAAAAATCGTAACAGTATAAAAATGTTTGGTCTAGCCTCGCTCAATTGTAGCCTTAGCAGATCTACCATTGGCTGGGTCAGGTTTAGGCTGGGTTTGTAGAGAAATGTTGGGCTGGCTTTGCACCATTATGGCTGAAAAAAAAAAGAAAAAACCTACCAAGATGGCGGCATCTCAGGAACGGCACTCGTTTGAAACGGCTTTGGCATCAACTTTGGATGATTTAGACTGGCTTTTCTGTAAGACATGAGCAGATACTTTGTTTTACTGTGTATGGCGGACTGCCACATTGACCGATTTCCATTGCTGTTAATACTGTATATCATGTTGTTTGGTGCTCTGATTGGTCTTAGCGTTGTCCAGTTGCATGCAGAGACGGTTTGAAAGACAACACGGATTCTGCCTTATACAAGTGAGCTCCGTCTATGGGTCATGGCCAGAATGAATACTTAAAAAAAAAAGCAATTCTAGGATTCTGAATCCATTCTCTAAATAATTCATAAATATCGATCCATACATCCAAAGATCAATTTCATATTGGCACACAGTAAAATGACGACTGTTATTTAGTAATCAGTCTGTTTATATTTGCACACAAAAAGAATGTCTTGTTTTATTATTATTAATTGAAATAAAATAGCGTTAGTATTCAACAGCTTCAGCTTTTGGCTGAATTCTCAATCAGTTATTTTTAAAAAAGCCCTAGGTTAATGTCCCAATAGCAGTCCGTTGATGCAGGTATCGACACCTCTGACTTCCTCTGTTAGCTGTCCCGCATCTGCTCACTAATTCTTCCCGACAGCACATTTGTGAACAGCAGTTGCATCAACATTATGGGAGTGAGATAGGTCCTTTCAGCCATCTTTAGCTACCAATTTATCATTCATTTGTCATTGAATGCCACTAGTGTTAATATTTTGCACAACTACACAGTCATGTGACTAATTTAATGGCTAAAAAAAGAACGGTTTTAAAATTTCCAACCCAAGTTAACATCAAATTGAATCGAATCGTGATAATCTATTCTAAATCTTGAGAATCAAAATCAAACCGATTCTTGAAATTTGAATCAAAACCCAGCACTACTTGCCAGGCCAGAATTTCTTTAGTACGAGGCATAATGTGTTGCTTTTTGAGATCTTTTAGCCTAATCTATGTTGTCAGGCAGGTTCTATTAAAGTTACTCCTTTAAGCTACAGATCAGTGTTGCTAGTATACCCTACAGAGCTATATTGATTTTTATCTCGAGAGGTGCTATAAAACAATCGTTTCTTCTTCTTCTATAGTCAGCTTTCCAGATTATGTGGTTAGGGATGGGTACCGAATTCGGTACTTTTTAAGGTACCGACCGAATTCCATAGTACCGACCGAGCACCGATTCACGTCGTTTCAAACGGTGCCTCGTTTCGGTACCCGTCCATCATAACGAGAACTTGCCAAGACAGCTGCGCATGCGCAAGTGCGTTTTGTCGTCGCTTGCTGTTAACCAGTTGTAAACAGAGCAGAACGGTAGAGAGAACGAAGGCTAAAGCTTGGGTCCACTTCACTAAATGTAATGGGTAACTGGATGATGAAACCAGTGACAACTATCTAAGTGAGACATCCTCATCTTAATCTGCTCCGGTAGGTAAATATAATTAGCTTGATATGTTAGCTTCCGTTTCGCTAATGGTGCGTTCGCCTTCTCCTCGGAACTCCGAATTTCCGACTAGAACAACATGAACGCGCTCTAAAATTTGGCTTCACTTTACTAAATGTGACGGGTGAAGACGAAACCAGTGACGATCTAAGTGTGAGGCATCGTTTTAATCTGCTCCAGCAGCTAAATAAACTGTTTAAGATATCGTTAGCTTGATATGTTAGCTTCCATTGCCACCATTATTATCAGCTAATGGTGTGTTCGCTTTCTCCTCGGAAATTCTAACTTTCCAGTAGGAAAAATCAAATGAAAAAGGACGGCAAAAGGAATGAAGATACACAGTAAATTTAGTTCACTGTAAAGATGTTTGCTTCAGTTTAATTATCAGCTTATAAAACTACAAGGACGATGTTAAAATACAAACAGTTATATGTTATTTATCGTGATATTTATCAAATATTGTTATATATTGAGAAAAATATATATTTAATTATAAAAGAAAATTAAAATAATAAACACTCAAAAGTATCGAAAATTGGTACCGTTAAGTACCGGTATCGATTCGTAGGTACCGGTAATTAATACCATATCGATTCAAATGTCAAAGGTACCCATCCCTATATGTGGTTAATAACAACTTGTGAACTTTAAGTACTGAACCAACTTTAGCATTTACTTTATTGCACAGGCCAAGTTCAGGTGGAAAGCTTGTTTCCCTTCAATTAAATCATCACTTTTTATTTTCTCAGGTTATGTTTGACACATTTGGCTGGTGAAAAGATTCAAAACAACTAAAAACCAGAATTTCAGGTTTATGTTTTCACTGATTATCAATTATTATCTATTAAATTAAGAGTGAGAGGCTAAATGTTCAACAGAGGCAAAACAGTCAGAAATGTTAATGATCTATTCTGGATCTGTGAATTTATTTACTTTGCACCTTATTGGTGAGCCTGTCTGAGTTTGGAGCTAGGTGGTTAGCTAACGACCTTGTTGTGTCCCTGTGTCCTTGCTTCTCTCTCATATTTGACTCGACCCAACGTTATCTGTGTTTGTGTTTTAACGCCGTATGTAGAAACAGGTGTGGAGTGAATTTGGCGGAAAAATTGATAGTGAAGTGTGGAAGGCAAGTATTATTCATTCAGTGTCAGCAACTCCGTCTCTTTGTCTAACCCCACCCACTCTCGTTTGCATTAACGTGTTCATATACTTCAGAGTCACTGCTTAGGCAAAAGCATGTGTGGCTGATGCTTCATCATTAATGTTGCTGCATCAAACTTAGTTTTTTCACGGTATCTAAGGATTAAACGTGTCTGTTTTATGCCTGCAGGAACATGTAGGTTTTTTTTTTACTTTTATGGGAATTAATTGCACAGATGTGACTGTATTTACACACAGAAGTGGGTGTGTGTAACTAATGTGTGCTAACATTCTTTCCTTCATGTAGCATGTTCCACTATACAGTTCATGACACACTGCCACCATCTTCCATCCAGCAAGGACATTCCCCCCCCACGCTTGGGTGCATGCTGCTGCACAGAGTAGCACCAAAATATTTACTTTTGGCTTATTTTTTTTGCAAAGTTTGTGTCTTTTAGCTTTTCTCCCATGAATTTTGCCATGGTCACAATTTGAGCTGGAACTAAAGAACAAGCACCAAGTGACAAACATGTTTATTTTTTTTGTTTTGTTTGACTGTTGGGGAGGGGGTTGGGCTTTCCTACCTCGTGTTTAGAACATCTAACTGGGTTTTCCGGGGGAAGTTTAAAAAAAAAAGAAGCTATATCTATTTGTAGCAAAAACGATAAGGAAAATATTTTTAAAACTGCACAGTTTCAAATTATGTTATGAAGTTATCACACAATAAAATATAGATTAGTGCGTCATAAGAAATCTTGATTCGATCAAAGCCATTTTGCACCCTGACCGCATCAACTGTGTTTGTCAGGATCTGCAGGCAGCCACGGTGAACCCCGACCCCAGCCTGAAGGAGTTTGAGGGCGCCACGCTTCGATATGCATCTCTCAAGCTAAGGTGAAATTTTTGTTCACGTCGATGCCCAATTGCCTTTTAATCACCACTAAGGATTACCGTGACCTGGATGATGTACCACCATCCACCCTGTCTTTGTTAGTTAAAGCTTGTTAGCTTGTGCTCTTATTAAACTTGATCAGACAAAAAAAAAAACATACTTATTACAGATTACACAGCTGCTGGTTGCATAATGACTAAATACATTTAAATACACAGCAGTTAATTAATTTATTATAATTGGATTTTCGTTCCAGAAACCGTCCAACTGTAGAAGAAAATGAGGCCCGTCGTGTCAACAGTGACTCTGAAGCTAAAGTAAGACTGCATGTTTGTTGCCACACATCCAAAAAAAATGTTTTCTTCAGCTCTTGTACAGATTTTTTGATTTTATGTAAAAAATAATTTCTTAGTGGCTTATGAAAATAATTTTTATCCCACGTTAGAAATCTTTAGTCTATTTTTGTTTTTTTATGAACACAGATCAAAACTGTTGCCTTACCAGAATATTCTAAAGTTATTTACTCCATACTTACTCCATACTTATGTTTTCTGTTACTCTGAAATGTTTAATTTGGTTTTGTAATCAGAACATTTTGACATGTTATTTATGCCAGCAGTATCTTAGTGTGTGGTTGTTTGGTTAAAGCCAGAATTAGACATTGGGGTCATGTTATGTTAAGATACTGTAGCTGTGCAACGGTGCCCTCTGGTGGTGTGTTAGGGCAGTACACATATGACTTTACTAATTTTAAACTTTATTTCATGTTTTCTAGTTTTAACAAGGCCGTCAATGTACACTTGTGTAACCGTAGTAGAATTGGGAAAAGGCCTGTTTTCACCCTGTTGTCCTGGACAGGTGTTAGTCCTCCTAGGAACAAAATAAAAACTTACAAAAACAGCATAAAACCAGAAAGTAACAAAACAGGTTTAAAATGACAAACTGCCTCCCAACACTTATTGATAATGTCGTATTCAACCATTTCTTCAACCTGAGAAGGAGAACTGAATATGCAGACTGACCTAAATAACTTAATAATCAGTTATAAGAAGATTATGTAAGAATTTAACAATGAAACAATCACAAAACTGTCTCAATGTCTCAATCATCTTGGAAGGAAATTAATTGAAAGTGGCAGAGTGTAGTTTCCTGGCACTAGGGGGCAGCACATACATTTCAGTGTAGTTTGACACCATATCACCGTGACTGTCGCTAGTTTAAAATAACATAAATGTTGTTAGCTGTGGTTACCTTAAGTGTTTGTCCTGCTGTAACAAATGAATTTCCCCACTGTGGGATCAATAAAGTCTATTCTATTCTATTCTGGAAGCTAATGTTGAGCTAACAATGCTAACAGTGAATATAAAAAAATGTAGAATGTAAAAATATCTAACTAATTTTTCATTTGCAAACAACCTGATATTGCAGTGAAAACTTATCAACTTAATGTGTTATTCGTCTTCGAATCTGGCAACAGTTTCTGGGAGCAGACTTGTTTATTTTGATACATGGACAGCAGTACCCAAATTTGACCACAGGATGCCATTCTTACTTTTACATAAACTGGCCCGGGACCACATCAGTCCGGTTCTGGCCTCCCTGCACTGGCTTCCGGTCTGTTATTGTTCACACTTTAAACTACTCGTCTTTGTTTACAATTTCTTCCAGGTTGCCCCCCCCCCCCCCCTATCTTGCCACACTCCTGAACAGACATTTCCCATCACGCGCTCTTTGCTCCTCTGACCAAGGCCTGCTCGCTGTCCCTCGTTCTAAGTGTCGTACTCGCGGGGACCGGGCTTTCTCAGTCCTAGCACCGTCTCTCTGTAACCAGTTGCCACCCTCAGTTAGGCTGTCCCCATCTCTGCCAGTCTTTAAGAGTCACCTAAAAACCCACCTCCTCCGCTTGGCGTTCCCTGAACACGTTTGAATTTGGCCTCTTTTATGTTGATTTTATCTCCCTGTTTTCATTGGTCTCTTTATCCCTTATTTTACCCATTTGTCTTCTACTTCAATGTTTTACCTTTTTTGCATTTGAATTGCTTTTATTTTCGATTTATTCATCATGTTTCACATTTCTCATGTACCATGTTCAGTGCCTTGGGCTTCCCAACAGGGTCGCGGAAAGCACTTTATAAATAAAGGTTTGATTGGTTGATTGATTGGTTGATTGATTGGCCATATGGAGCCTAAGTCACGCCCATCTACCTCCGGACCATGGGTCCCCGGAAAAACAAAAAAATGAATGCAAGTCAGTGGTGCTAAAACCACTATTTTCTAATTCCACTTGTTATGTGCCGTAGAGTTCACATATGATGTCCGTGAATTGTAAAGAAACATTTGGGCCATTCCCATTTGTACCGGGTCGGCCCGGGCCGGGTAGCCCCAGTCGGCCCCAGCCTGGCCCGGTTGATTCCACACATCCTTGTCTTAAGCCCATGTGGGCTGATTCTACCCACCAATCAGAGGCTTGCTCTAATGGAAGGTGTGAATTTGCTGTCAGCAGTGGGTGAGTTGGCCCTGGTCGGCCTGAAGCAGACCCCCTCGAGAAGAGGGCTGAGAATGAGCCTTGGTTGGCCCAGAAAAATACCAGGCCACCCAGATATGTAAACAACCTACGCTACCCGGCCCGGGCCGACCCGGTACAGATGGGGATGGCCCAATTGTGATACCAAGGAAGCGCTCATTTTTTGGGGGAAATGCTATTTTGGTTTTGTGTGAAAATAAATCCAGGACTACAAATGAGCTTCATGAAAGTGACGTCACCGAATCAGACACAGAGAAAAACAGGGGGAAAATGGCTGGAAGTTCAGCGAACTTCAAATCCTTCCTTCAGGAGGAAAGAACCACTTTAAATCTGGCCATGTGGTAAGTAGCAGCTACGCTAGGGGAGAAGAGATTATATGGTGTCATTTATGCGACGTACCGATTTCTGGTTTGTAGTCATGCTAATTACGAACTTTTACAAGCTGATAAATCTCAAAGCATGGTCACAACACCCATCATTAGTTTTCATTTAAACTGTAGTACAACATATCCAGGGCATAAGGCAAAGCGGATTAGAAAATAGCTCTTTTAGCCCCTTTGACTTGCATTCATTTTTTCGTTCTTCCGGGAACCCATGAGCTGACCAGAAAGAGAGGAGACTTAGACTCCCTATAGATGAACAATTACAGCTACGTCAAACCAAGCTGCTGTTGTTAGTTGTCAGTGCTTCATTGTTTAATCAGTCGGTCATCTTATTCCATCCCTCTGCTTCTATGACCTGTTTAGGCTATCGGCCAAAAAGATGGCCGATATGGCCGATATTGCACTACCTATCTAGCAGATGGTGCCAGCTTTAGGAACTCTTGTTGTGTGGCTCCACTCCTTGGACAACAAACAATGCCATAGTTTCTTAGGGGTACAAAAGGAGTAGAAAATTCAGTGGAAGGAAAAAAAAATAAGACTTGAATAATAAATGAGAAAACCATAACAGCTTCGTCTTCGTCTTCGTCTTCCTCCGCTTATCCGGGTCCGGGTCGCGGGGACAGCATCCCAATTAGGGAGCTCCAGGCCGTCCTCTCCCCGGCCTTGTCCACCAGCTCCTCCGGCAGGACCCCAAGGCGTTCCCGGACCAGATTGGAGATGTAACCTCTCCAACGTGTCCTGGGTCGACCCGGGGGCCTTCTGCCAGCAGGACATGCCCGAAACACCTCCCCGGGGAGGCGTCCAGGAGGCATCCTGACCAGATGCCCAAACCACCTCAACTGGCTCCTTTCGATCCGGAGGAGCAGCGGTTCTACTCCGAGTCCCTCCCGAATGTCCGAGCTCCTCACCCTATCTCTAAGGCTGAGCCCGGCCACCCTACGGAGGAAACTCATTTCGGCCGCTTGTATCCGCGATCTCGTTCTTTCGGTCATTACCCAAAGCTCATGACCATAGGTGAGGATTGGGACGTAGATCGACCGGTAAATCGAGAGCCTGGCTTTCTGGCTCAGCTCCCTCTTCACCACGACAGATCGGCTCAGCGTCCGCATCACTGCAGACGCCGAACCAATCCGCCTGTCGATCTCCCGATCCCTCCCACCCTCACGGGTCGGGGGAGAGGTCCTACCTCAAGTGGAGGAGTTTAAGTATGTCGGGGTCTTGTTCACCTTAACAGCTTAAGAGAATTTTTCTTTTTATTTCCTTTTTTTTGTGAGGGAGATTTATAGGCCATTATATCGGCCATCGGCCTTTGGTAAAAGTTTTATATTGGTATCGGTTCCCAAAAAGGCGTATCGGTCGGGCCCTACCTTCAAGATTTGACATTTCTAGTTTGTTTATACAGTTAATTTTACTTGTCACTTTAAATGGTTTATCAATTTAAAAACAAACAACCTTTCAAGTCCTAGAAATTACACTGAATGTGTGATTTTAAATTAATAAAAACAGAATTTTGCCTTCATTTGCAGGAAAATAAATGTAACGTTATTTTAGAATAAAGGTTGGATTTCTGTGAAGTAATAACTCAAATGTGAAACTCTGTTTCATTCTGTGGTATTTGAATGTTTCAGTGTTTCGCAGTGCGCTCTCTGGGCTGGGTAGAGATGGCTGAGGAGGACTTGGCTCCTGGGAAGAGCAGCGTCGCCGTCAACAACTGCATCCGACAACTCTCCTACTGCAAGAATGACATCCGGGATACGGTCGGCATCTGGGGAGAGGTGCGGAAAACCAGAAGGTTTTGTAAACAGGATTAGCACAGCGGGAGATAAAACTCTGCACCACCTGGTGGTAGTTGTTTGTACGTCGGGGGGAAAAAAGTGTTTCCTTTTCGGTGCTGTGAACTTATGTAATATGAACTGACAGTCAACCTCCTTCTGGTTTAAGGGTCCGATGATTTATTTAGAGGCCTTCCATGGAATGAACACACACACACACACACACACACACACACACACACACACACACACACACACACACACACACACACACACACACACACACACACACCACACACTACAGTATAACTAGGGAAAAATAATTTTTTTGACTCAAACTTTTTTATTCACCGTCTGGTAGAAGCCAGTCTTTGATGGAACACCTAAAGGAGTGATGTGTTTGTGCTTGTCCCAAGGGGAAGGACATGTACCTGGTGCTGGAGAATAATATGCTGAACCTGGTTGACCCCATGGACCGCAGCGTGCTTCATTCCCAGCCGATAGCGAGCATCCGTGTCTGGGGCGTCGGCCGCGACAACGGCAGGTTAGTGATCCCGGATACAAAGATATTTTCTGCAGTTTTCTTTAACTGGCGTGCTAAAATATTATACGTTGAGTATAAAGGGTTAGCGGTGTGTTTTCCTTTGTGGTATACTACCCTGCTACTATATCATAGCCACTGACAGAGGTGAGGCTGCCACACTCTTGGCACCACCGGTCCCTTTGATCACCACCAGCAGGCTAGGAGGGTGAAGTGTCCAGCCAAGGACTCAGCGACTCAAACAGATGATGAGCTCCTTCCTCCTGAGCCATCATCGTGGTTTAATTTATAAGACTTTATGTTAGGTGTGTTTTTTTCTTGTGGTTTTCTCACCATGTCTAGTAAAAGGTCACGGTAACAAATATAGAACGGAGCTTGTAGCAGGGAGGACTCATGTTCGATGAGCAGAATCAGTTATTAAAGGAGATCTTGAGAGTCCAAATGATCACATTTGAGTGTCTTTGACCAAAAAGTCAAACCCGGCTCGCCGTGTCCCGCTTTCACCTCATCCTAACCCTCTGCAGCTCGTTTTACTGAAGGTTAACATGAATATTTAAATAAATGAAAGGATGCTGGTGACCACTAGAGGGAGCTGTACACCTCTGATAACCCAATGTAGGTTCTCATGCAGCAAGGTGGTGTGTACGTTTATCTGAGCTAAAATGTATAAAGTTCATTTATTTAAAAAAGAAACATAATTCCTTCTGTTTGGTGGAGGAAGCGTTTGTAGTTTTATCAGTTTGCAGCGACATAAATGAGCCGGAGGCTGTGAGAGAAGCTTATCTGCTGCAGAAGGAGGCGGAGATGACATAGTAGAGCGAAAGAGAGAGAGGGGGCGAGGAGGCTGCCAGAGGGGGAGGTATGGTTAGTTCTTACTGGGAGTGGAGCAGACGGGTGACAGAGAGCATGCAGCTTCACCAGGATTTGAAGGACTGAGTGACTGAAGGCGGTCTCATCATCGGGACGACCCACCAGGGCAGGAAGGCTGTGAGTTGATCAGAAACCATTGCTTTTGCTGTTTGATTAAAAAGTAGAATTTACTTCAGAAAGAGGCCTGTTGCGAGGTTGTGTTTTTACTCTCTGTAAAACATTTTTAGATTTGCACGATTTCAAAGGGAATTGGGTGGAGTGAGGGTAGACGTGTGTAAGACTGGTGATGGCTAGAATTATTAAAGGATAAGAACTGATAGGAATTGGAATCTCGTGCTGCTCTGGTGTTTGTCTATGATTATAATTTCTATAGTTTAAAGTGTTTAACTGGTGCTTATAAGATTCCCTCCATGGTGTGGGCTGCTCATTACTCACCGTCAGATCCGCGCAGCGATCGGCTGCTCATTTCTGTTGTGGACTCCGTCTCCATCTACTGCTGAAGTTGGGAGTTGGTATAAAAACGGACTGGTGCAGGGATTTTCCCCTCTGTTGCACACTGTCACACCGTTCCACCCTGGTGGCGGACTGTAGGCGTCGTGTCGGCATATAAACAGCAACCCAGTGCACACCCACTCCTCTTTTTATGCTGTCAAACTTCTTATTGCCATGAGATTAGAGATCCCCACAGCAATCTGGGCATTTTCAGCAGGCTGGCGTCATCAATGAATAGTTTTATTGCATAATTGAAATATGACATCACTCCCATTCTCCCGTCTTGCATCTTTGTTCTTGTTTTATTGGATATGTCTTTTCCTCTTACATGTCCTGGTCTTAATCATTCTGCTCTTGTATTGAGATGTTTCAAACACTCTTATTTCCCAGTTGAAGAGCATAAAAGTGTTTAATACTCTCTCTCTCATGCTTTTTGTATGCATAAAGCGCTCAGCTTTTATGTTTTAGGAAACATGAAACCCGAGCAGCTAAACGAAGAAGTTGCAGGATCCAGTCCCTCCTAATCTCTGTAACTTGCCGATTTATTCTTTGGGTTCCCATATTTCAGAGTTCCAGTGTTAGGTATGCGTTTGAAAACAACCCACTGAGATGTGTGCCACATCCCTTCAACCCCTATGTGCATTCACTTTATAAAGCTCCTTTGTCTGAGGTGCTTCAGATGGAGCAAAACAAATCAGATGAGAAGGGAAGCTGTCACTCAAATTTAATTATGTGTGTGTGTGTGTGTGTGTGTGTGTGTGTGTGTGTGTGTGTGTGTGTGTGTGTGTGTGTGTGAGAGAGAGAGAGAGAGAGAGAGAGTGAGCAGGTTGCTTCGCAGTTTCTGCCTCTTTTCCCTCAGCAGGGGTCCTCTGTGATACGTAAAAAAATTCTGTCTTCTAACTTTCCTCCTTTCCTCCCATGCTTCCCTGGATGCAGAGAGAGGTAAACACAGCAGCTAACATCCCACAATATCTCTCCATCAGGTCTTGTCATTTTTTTTATTGTTTAATTTCCTCTGTGCCTCGTTTTTCTTGTCTTCAAAGCAGTTCCTGATGCACAGTATTACCGTGTGCAGAAATGTAGGAAATGAAGGGGGCTTATTGCGTCTCTTGTCTAGTTGCTTTTCTAAAGTGCACACACACACACACACACACACACACACACACACACACACACACACACACACACACACACACACACACACACACACACACACACACACACACACACACACATTTACTGACAGGTGCTATTTCGCTTGTTCTGTTGTTTTATTTCCAAGAAACATAAATCAAATGTGCGTGTGTGCTGCTCTTATGAAAAAATGTCCTCTTTGACATATTCTAAATCTTTCCCTTTTTCGGAGCTTGTTTTCGGTCCTTTTGCTTGTTTTTCAGTACTTCTCTTTATCAAAGTTAAATGTTTTTTAGCTTCAGTGGGCGAGAAGGAAAATTCTTACCTTCGGTCACTTTGTTGAACCCTTCGTATCACACACACCACTCTATTTATCTCTGGGGTCCAGTGTGTGTGTGTGTGTGTGTGTGTGTGCGCTTTTAAGTTGGTTAAGTAAAATGAACATATCTCCAGCCAGCTCTTTATTTGATCATTTCTCTGTTGTTAATATCCACATTTTGTTTCTCCATCCAGGGATTTTGCGTATGTGGCGCGGGATAAAAACACCAGGATCCTGAAATGTCATGTGTTCCGCTGTGACACGCCAGCCAAAGCCATCGCCACAAGCCTGCATGAGATCTGCTCCCGGGTGAGTGGTTCCGATTCAAGTCCAACGTTTCCTTTTGTCCCAAACACTTAGATCAGCAGCCAGCTCTTCTGTTGAATCCTCTCATCCTGCTTCACTGAGGCTCAGGCACTGTCCACACGTAGCCGGGGATCTGCCAAAACGTAGATATTTTTCTACGTTTTGGCCTGTCATCCACACGAAAATGGAGTTTTTTCAAACAAAAACGGATCTTTTTAAAAACTCCGGCCAAAGTGAAGATCTGTGTTTTCTCCGTTTTGGGTGTCTGCGTGTGGACGGACAAAACCGGAGTTTTAAGGTCCGCAACGTCACTTTCCGCGACAAAAAATGCTGACATCACGTGTGCGACCTGTGTTTACACAAGCCGACATCATGGAAGCCTTCAGAGCTGCGCTCTGTCACTACCCGATCCATCAATTGTCCAAGCCCTTTCTGCTTGTTTGTTTTTGCAAGCGGAATTACTGCTCATTGCGGAAGACCACAGACGAAGGACGAGGTTAAGAACGGGGAAGTACTGCCGCCTTCAGGTCTGGCATGTCCTTAACAACGTATTTATCCGGGTATGTGTGGACAGAGTTTTTTTTTAAAACGAGGTGGTGTGGATGCAAGTTTTTGGAGGGGCGGATATTCGTTTTCAAAAAACCCGGCTACATGTGGACTAGGCCTCAGAGATGAATCATGTTACAAGCAGATTTAAGGAATGTTCAAATCATGAAGCAGAAACACATATTCAATTCAATTCAATTCAATTTTATTTATATAGCGCCAAATCACGACAAGAGCCGTCTCAAGGCACTTTACATAATAAACATTCCAATTCACAGTTCATTAAGCCAATCAGAAATAATGTTTCCTATATAAGGAACCCAGCAAATTGCATCAAGTCACTGACGAGTGTCAGTGACTATACAGCAATCCTCATACTAAGCAAGCATGCAGCGACAGTGGAGAGGAAAACTCCCTTTTAACAGGAAGAAACCTCCAGAGAATCCTGGCTCAGTATAAGCAGCCATCCTCCACGACTCACTGGGGATCGAGAAGACAGAGCAGGCACACACACACACACACACACACACACACACACACACACACACACACACACACACACACACACACACACACACACACACACACACACACACACACACACACACACACACACAAAGACAAGTAATGTGTCTATAGTTATATTGTGATGTCTTAGTAAATATTGTATTTGGTGAAAGATAAACTTTATTGTATTTATCCTAGTGGATCTATAATTAAACGGATAAACTAGTATTAGCACATCAAAAGTCAAAAACAAAAAGTTATTATCAGGAGAGAGAGAATGTATTAGTGGTTAGCAGCAGTGTGCTAGTCGATGGCCCCCTCCATGAGGCCACCACAGCTCAGCAGAACGTCATTGTAGCTTCTTCTGGGGAGAAAAACACTCACAGAGAAAATAAAGTTAACAGCTGAAATTGCACAAAATAGTACAGTTAAAGAGCAGACTGTAGAAGAAAGCAGTAGAGTGTGAAAAGTGGTCAGTGTATCCTCCAGCAGTCTAAGCCTATAGCAGCATAACTACAGAGATAACTCTGGATATTGGATATTTAGGCTTATTTTTTCCAAGACATCCACTATGAGTGTGCATTGGCCTGAATGTGGTAATAAGATATATATATATATATCCCAATACAGGGGAGACAATACTATTTATTTCTGTATCATTTGTAACTTTTTAGACTGAATATAATTGGAAAACGCAGGCCAGACTACGATTGGGCGATTGGATGAGTTATCCGACCGTCGGCGATAGGAAAAGCCCTTCGCCGATCATTATTTTTTATGAGCAGTATTTGATTCTTATGATTCAAATCAAATGATATATGGTTATCAAAAGTTCAACTGTAGAAGCAGTAAACACTTTTATCTAACCACTCGGAAATTCTAAATAATGTCTGGCTCATTGTCAGCCTCATGTCATTGACACAATAGAGCCATCTCCAACAAGAATTGTTTTTTTTTTACATCCAAAAGTCAAATAAAAGTACTCCAATGAAATAGTTTGTCCACAACAAGTACTACATTCACAATCCAATGTAATAGACCACTGAAGCGTTAAAATTTCACTCATACTCTCATAATTTCCTAATGTTAGCTTCAAACTTTTGAGTGACATCTTCCCCCTTCCCCCTTCAGTTTGGCACAAAGAAATTCTTTCTGCTTTCCTCCTAAACCAGCAGCTCTGAGGCCTCAAGCAGCTTTTTGGTCCCTCTGCAGTGGCTCTTTGAAGCTTTGACCAATAATAACCAAGAAATTAGGATTGTTGTTTTCAAAACAACACGAAGGCTCATTTAAGCTGGCTAGCTGAATGATTAACACGTCATTAATCCAGTTTCCAGCCATACAGGGATCTTTTTTAGGAATCTACCATCAAAAATGGACACTTTGACCATATTACAGCTAAAAGCCAAAGAGAAATTAAACACGGGTTTATGCATGTCAGACAAATGAGTAAACCCCTTCATTTTATTAGGATGTGTTTTTATACTTTATTATTTCAAACTGATATACTACTTATTTTCACAAATATAGAAAAAACTCACATTTGCTGGTATAGGTAAATGTATACGGTTAAACAAAAATAGGTCTTTTTCATGTGTTATTTATTTCTTGCTAAAGTACCAATAAAAGTAATCAGTTTATTAAAGTTCCTTCATTTTGTCATGTAAACACCAAATCTAACACTTATCCTTGTTTAGAATATTTGAGTACATTTAGCAGATTTTTACAAAATACAAACAGTCAAATGGATCTTGTGAATATAAAAGTTAAACTATGGATAGACCGATGTATCAGGCACATATTTATCTTTTTTCTACATATCGCATCGGTCGATTAACCTCTTTAGAAGAGCTGATTTGAAGTCTAGTGTTGATGACGAATACAATTTAAATGTGTATTTACATTCATGAAAAACATCTGCTTAAAAATGCTCTAAAACGTTATTGAGGTTGAGCGGTACCGGCTAGATATAGTCGGACTCACCTCGGCACATAGCATTGGCTCTGGAACCCAAGTCCTTGAGGGGGGTTGGACACTCTCCTTTGCTGGAGTTGCTCCGGGTGAGAGGCGGAGGGCTGGGGTTGGCTTTTTGTTGGCCCCAAGACTCTCTGCCTGTGTGTTGGGGTTTACCCTGGGGGACGAGAGGGTAGCTTCTTCTGCGCCTTCGGGTCGGGGAACGGGTCCTGACTGTTGTTTGTGCCATGGGCCAAATATCAGTTCAGAGTACCCACCCTTTTTGGAGTCCCTGGGACGAGTGCTAGATAGTGCTCCACCAGAGGACTCCATTGTCCTGCTGGGGGACTTCAGTGCTCACGTGGGCAATGACAGCATGACCTGGAGGGGTGTGATTGGGAGGAACGGCCCGCCTGATCTGAACTCGAGTGGTGTTTCGTTATTGGACTTCTGTGCAAGCCGCAGTTTGGCCATAACGAACACCACGTTCGAACATAAGGATGCCCATCGGTACACTTGATACCAGGGCAGCCTAGGTCGCAGGTCAATGATAGACTTTGTAGTCGTATCATCTGACCTGCGGCCGTATGTTTTGGACACCCGAGTGAAGAGAGGAGCGGAGAGGAGCGGAGCTGTCAACTGATCACCACCTGGTGGTGAGTTGGATCAGATGGCAGGGGAAGATGCCGCGTAGACCTGGCAGACCCAAACGCATAGTGAGGGTCTGCTGGGAACGCCTGGCAGAAGAACCTGTCAAGACGGTCTTCAACTCCCACCTCCGGCAGAGCTTTGACCACGTCCCGAGAGCAGTGGGGGACATGGACTCCGAGTGGGCCTTGTTCCACTCTGCGATTGTTGAGACGGCTGTTGCTAGCTGTGGTCGCAAGGTGGCCGGTGCCAGTCGTGGTGGCAACCCCCGTACCCGCTGGTGGACACCAGAGGTTCGGGGAGCCGTCAGGCTGAAGAAGGAGGCTTTCAGGGCATGGCTGGTCCGTGGGTCTCCGCAGGCAGCAGACAGGTAAAGCGGGGTGCAGCAGTAGCAGTTACCGAGGCAAAATCTCAGGCGTGGGAGGAGTTTGGTGAGGCCATGGAGAAAGACTATCGATCGGCTCCAAAGAGGTTCTGGCAAACTGTTCGGCGCCTCAGGAGAGGGAGGCAGCAACTCGCTCACATTGTTTACAGTGGGGATGGGGAGCTGCTGACGTCAACTGGGGCTATAGTCGGACGGTGGAAGGAATACTTTGAGGAGCTCCTCAATCCCACCTACGCGCATTCCGAGGAGGAACCAGAGCCGGGAGACCTGGGAATGGACTGTCCAATCTCGGGGGCAGAAGTTGCTGAGGTAGTCAAACAACTACACAGCGGCGAAGCCCCGGGGGTGGATGAGATTCATTCTGGGTATCTCAAGGCTATGGATGTTGTAGGGCTGTCGTGGTTGACACGTCTCTGCAACATTGCATGGTCATCGGGGGCAGTTCCTGTGGAGTGGCAGACCGGGGTGGTGGTCCCCATCTTAAAGAAGGGTGACCTAAGGTTGTGTTCCAACTATAGGGGGATCACACTCCTCAGCCTCCCTGGAAAGGTCTACTCCAAGGTACTGGAGAGGAGGGTCCGATCGATAGTTGAATCTCAGATTGAGGAGGAGCAATGTGGTTTTCGTCCTGGCCGTGGAACTGTGGACCAGCTCTATACCCTTGCAAGGGTGATGGAGGGGGCATGGGAGTTTGCCCAACCAATCCACATGTGTTTTGTGGATTTGGAGAAGGCTTATGACCGTGTCCCCAGGGGCACCCTGTGGGGGACGCTCCAGGAGTATGGGGTGGGTGGCTTTCTGTTAAGTCCATTCAGTCCCTTTACCAGAGGAGCGTGAGTTTGGTCCGCATAGCCGGTAGTAAGTTGGACCTGTTCCCGGTGAGGGTTGGACTCCGCCAGAGCTGCCCTTTGTCACCGGTTCTGTTCATTACCTTTATGGACAGAATTTCTAGGCGCAGCCGTGGTGTGGAGTGTGTCGAGTTTGGTGGCAGGAGAATCTCGCCTCTGCTTTTTGTGGATAATGTGGTCCTCCTAGCTTCATCCAACTCTGGCCTTCAACTCTTGCTGGGTAGGTTCGCACCCGAGTGTGAAGTGGCTGGGATGAGGATCAGCACCTCCAAATCTGAGACCATGGTTCTCGACCGGGAAAGGGTGGCTTGCCAACTCCGGGTCGGGGGAGAGGTCCTACCTCAAGTGGAGGAGTTTAAGTATCTCGGGGTCTTGTTCACGAGTGAGGGTAGGAGGGACCGGGAGATCGACAGGCAGATTGGTTCAGCATCTGCAGTGATGCGGACGTTGAGCCGATCTGTCGTGGTGAAGAGGGAGCTGAGCCAGAAAGCCAGGCTCTTGATTTACCGGTCGATCTACATCCCAATCCTCACCTATGGTCATGAGCTTTGGGTAATGATCGAAAGAACGAGACCGCGGATACAAGTGGCCGAAATGAGTTTCCTCCGTAGGGTGGCTGGGCTCAGCCTTAGAGATAGGGTGAGGAGCTCGGACATTCGGGAGGGACTCTGAGTAGAACCGCTGCTCCTCCAGATCGAAAGGAGTCAGTTGAGGTGGTTTGGGCATCTGGTCAGGATGCCTCCTGGACGCCTCCCTGGAGAGGTGTTTCAGGCATATCCTGCCGGCAGGAGGCCCCCGGGTCGACCCAGGACACGTTGGAGAGGTTACATCTCCAATCTGGTCCGGGAACGCCTTGGGGTCCTGCTGGTGGAGGTGGCGGGGGAGAGGACAGTCTGGAGCTCCCTATTTGGGATGCTGCGACCCGGACCCGGATAAGCGGAGGAAGACGACGACGTTATTGTCAACAGGAATTCCTTTCACTTCTTATTTGTGTGATATTTCATACTATGTCACTTTATACATTTAAAGCTATTGCTTTCAGGTTGGTTTCAGTGGTTCTTGATCCAGAAATTTGAGCAGCTTCACATTGGACAGCGCTCTTCTGCCTTCTGCTGGCCAGAAACTGCTCTAAAGAGCTTTGTGGTTTGCATAGTAACAAGTGGAAAGTGAAGCAACGGTTGAGGTAGAGCTGACTGTGCCAGTAACTCATAAAAATGCTAGCAGATAGCTTTTTCACTCCGACTCTCAGTAAAGCACAAGAAGAATTTAGCTTGTTTTGTGTGCATGTTTGAGTCACATATTTGGAGGCAAAGCAGAGCTAAAACTAGAGAGCTCTGCTTACATTCGTTAGAGGCTGTACCAGTTGGTTAAAGCCGTGCTATGCAACTTTTATTATTTTTTAATCATTTTCTTAAACCAGTATGTGCTAAAATGCTAGATGGTTTCCAGTCAGGTTTTAGACAACACCACAGCACTGAGACTGCACTTATTAAAGTTCATATATATAATATTCGTCTAAATACATATTAAGGCAAAGCATCTGTTCTGATGATGCTCGATCTCAGTGCAGCTTTTGATACAATGGACCACAACATCCTTCTTGATAGACTCATAAACTGAGTGGGACATTCAGTCACAGTCCATAGTTGGTTCTGATCATAACTTGAAGACAGGGGTTTTGTTGTTTCAATTGGTGATCACAAATCAAAATCTGATCACCACGACGTGAGGTCCCCCATGGCTCAATTCTTGGACCACTGCTCTTCGATGTCTACATGCTCCCCCTGGGTCAGGTCATATTCAATAACATTACCTATCATTGTTATGCAGGTGACACCCAGATCTACCTAGCTCTATCACCTAGTGACTGTGGCTCCCCAGACTCACTTTGTCAGTTTTTTGAGCAAGTTAATGACTGGATTTAGTGAAATTTTCAGTTAAAGACAAGACTGAAGTTATTGTCTTTGGAAATAATAAGGATAGGATGGAGGTTATTGCTCAGCTTGGCTCCAGAGGAATAAAGACAAAGACCCAGGTTAGAAATTTTGGTAATAACTGATTCAGACCTGCGCTTCACTGGTCACATCTGCGTTTTATCATCTTCATCAAATAGCAAGACAGAGGCCTCATGTCCAGACAGGGCCTGGAGAAACTCATTCACGCATTTATCTGCTGCAAGTTGGACTATTGCAATGGTCTTTTGGTCTTCCTCCCTAAAAAGCTGTGAAGCAACTTCAGCTTATTCAGAATGCTGCTGCTAGAGTCTTAACAAAAATCAAGAGAACCAAGCACATCACCCCTGTTATTGAATCTTCACACTGGTTACCAGTAAACTACAGAATCAATTTCAAAGTGCTTCTACTAGTTTATAAATCACTCATGGGGACAGAATACATGTTCGATCTCTTTCCTGTATAAATGCCCAGCAGAGCACTGGGATCCTTAAGAGTCAGCTGGTAGAACCCCGGGTCAGAAGCAAACAGGGTGAAGCTGCTTTCAGCTACTATGCTGCACACAGATGGAATCAGCTTCCTCAAATGAGCCCCAACTCTAGTAATTTTTAAATCAAAATTGAAAACCTTCTTGTTTTCATCCGTCTGAATGAATGTTATCACACTGCACAGTCTGCACTGCATTTGCTCACTCTTTAACTTGAACTTTGTTTCTTTTCAATTTTTAAATTGCTTTTTCTGTCATGTTGATTTTTATGTTCTTGTTATTCTTACTATTGGAAAGGGTTAGGGTTAGGGTTGAATTGCTTCTGTGTGTGACATGTTCTATATAAATCAATCTGCCTTGCCTAAAATGACCCTTTACATGGTTAATGAAAAGTCACCCAGACCCCTACAGCCCTCTGTGGCCACAATATTGCACTTGCAACTTGAGAGTGGCGGGCCACCACCTGTGGACTTAAAAAATGATTGAGCTGACATGTCTTCCAGTATGTTTCCTGCACTTTTTAGATCATTATTAATACTGCTGCTGTTTTGATTGAGTGACAAACCACTTCTGTAGACACTAATGAAGGCTGGAGAGACATTTCAGAAGTTAGATTAAAGCGATAAAAGACAAACGCACAGCAGGGAGATATGTTTTGCTTTTGGTTCTACTAAACGGACACTAGAGGGTGCTAAAAACAAGCCAAAACTGCCAAATGTGCCTTTAAATTCAGTGTTCAAAAACAGATTCAGTTTCAGAAATGTTGTACATTAATTGTTGTTGTTATGGTTAATTTAGCATGCAAATGAGCCGGAAACATCTAGATATTAGCCATGGAAATCATCCCAAAAAATCAACAGCACACATCAGCCATCTGCTGACCACGGCTTCTGCATACCAGCATCGGTATCGTCAATATAAAAACGCATATCGGTGCATCTCTAAGCTAAACATAAGTATCAAAAAACTTTTTCTACTCTACATGACTACTTTCATGTGAACAGATACATTCTAAACATTACTGAAGCAATGTTAGTCAAACCCAGTTTTGCAGAGATGCAGATGAATTATTTGGTCTACGAACGTACCGTGAATAAACACTTAAGCTGTGTTAGCAATAATATCCTAATTAATTGTTGTTTTGAAGAGGCCTGTGTGCTGTTTTGTCATTTTTATAGAGTTATAACTAATTATTGAGTTATAAGGGTTATATAAACTAATTTTAATACTAAATATTTTATTTTTAGCTTAGCCTTTCTTCCACGTACACCAATATAACACAGTTTGTTTACAAGTTCTTTGTAGAGGAACAAAAGTGCATTCAGCTTCATGATTACAAACTGATTAAGAACTTGTCAGCATGTGAGAGTGAGAGGTATGAATCATTGTCTCACTGGAGCTTTATCTTCTCTTCTGTTAGCGGAGTGGGAGCTGTTTATTGTGTGTGTGTGTGTGTGTGTGTGTGTGTGTGTGTGTGTGTGTGTGTGTGTGTGTGTGTGTGTGTGTGTGCTCTTCAGGTGTGACAGGAAACAGCATGACACTATCAGCTGTAAAGCTGCTCTTGAGCTCTGTCATATAATTTTCATTTGCCCTCATCCCCCATTGTTCTGCACTTCCACATTTTTTTTTCATTTGTTTCTTCAATCTGCTCCTCCGTGTGTGTGTGTGTGTGTGTGTGTGTGTGTGTGTGTGTGTGTGTGTGTGTGTGTGTGTGTGTGTGTGTTTGCCTCAGTAAAAATTGCTTTCTCTCCTCCAGATAATGACGGAGAGAAAGAATGCCAAAGCCATGGCAGGAAGCTCTCTCCAGGACAGGATTCAGGCAGGACTGGATCTCCCTTTACAAGGTGGGCTTCATGCAGATCCTCTTTTTGCGAGTTCAGCAGAAGGCGAGCACAGAAACACTTGAAAACACTCATCACCTCTGTGGCTAACGCATTGCACTCAAACTCAACATTTGTGCGAACATGAAGTTAGAACAAAAACTATTTTCATCATAACATCCACTGTGAATGAGTCAAACAGGAAGAGAAGCTTTGAATAGGAACAGTCATAAAGATGGTAAATGGTAATTGACCTGTTTTTATATAGCACCACCTTAAAGAGTCCTATGACCCCTCCCACAAGGACCCTTACAACACATCACTCACTCATTCACACTTTAAAGGGATACTTTGCAACCTTTTTCATATTTTAAATCATTTTCTTGAGCCAGTATGTACTAAAACGTCCCTTTACAGGGTTAATGAAATGACAACAAGCCCCCTTTGCCCCCTGTGGCCAGAATATTCCACCTGCAACTTCAGACTGGCAGGCCGCTCTGTTGGGACTTGGAGAAAAAATGAGTTGACAAACCTGGTGCTGCAATCTGGTTCCTGCATGTTTTAGATCATGAACACAGCTGATTTGTTTCATTTAGTGACGAATCACTATTGTAGACACTAAGGAAGGCTGGCAGACATTTCAGCTGTTAGATTAAGGTGTCAAAAAGACAACCGCACAGCGAGGAGATAAGTTTTGCATTCAGTTCTACAAACATGGGGCGACGGTGGCACAGGAGTTAAGTGCTCGCCTCGCAATCGGAAGGTTGCAGGTTCGAGCCACGCTCAGTCTGTCGCTGTCGTTGTGTCCTTGGGCAAGACACTTAACCCACGTTGCCTGCTGGTGGTGGTCGGAGGGACCGGTGGCGCCAGCGCTCGGCAGCATCGCCTCTGTCAGAGCGCCCCAGGGCAGCTGTGACTAAATTGTAGCTCATCCCCACCAGTGTGTGAATGTGTGTGTGAAAGGGTGAATGACTGATTGTGTTGTAAAGCGCCTTGGGGGGTTCCAGGACTCTAGAAGGCGCTGTATCAAATACAGGCCATTTACCATTTATAACAGACACTAGGGGGTGCTAAAAGCAAGCCAGAACTGCCTGGTCTCCCTTTAAAGATGTAAATAATTTTTTTAAATATTTCCCTTTAAAACTCTGAGTAACAATGTTAGACCTTAGCTATTGCTAACTAGCAGAACCCAAAATGACATATTTCTTTGTGCTTCTAATCATTACAAAACTCTCTCATCTTCTAAACTGGACCCTTGTGCTTTTATACAACCTGTACTATCATGTTATGACACTGAAAATGAAAAGAAGCAATGTGCCCGAATATTCGGGTATTATAATATAATTTATTAAGCCAATGTGAGTTCTGTTTTCACAAGCAGCCATTACGATTTTTTTGAATTCCTCCCAACAGAGTTCCCCACACCGAAGACGGAGCTGGTTCAAAAATTTCAGGTGCACTACCTTGGTATGATGCCTGTGGTCAGACCAATTGGTTAGTTTAACACACACACACACACACACACACACACACACATACACACACACACACACACACACACACACACACACACACACACACACACACACACACACACTATAAATATATATATATAAATATTTTCACTTATGTATGATGCACACTTAGTGAATTTTCTCGCTTATTTGAATCAACTCCTCCAGGGATGGAAATTCTGAATGAAGCTATCGATAGTCTGATTGGTTCCTCTAACAAAGAGGACTGGACTCCAGTGGCCCTAAATGTTGCCGACGCCACGGTGACCATCAGCAAAGACAAGGTGCTACACAAATTACTTCCTACTCCTCGGCACAAACTCTTTGATCTAGAACTGTTTGCAAAGTGTGAAGTAACTGATGCGTACCAGAGCGTTCATGACCCTCACGTCCCTGACCAGGATGAAGGGGAAGTGCTGGTGGAGTGCCGCGTCCGTTTCCTGTCTTTCATGGGCGTAGGACGAGACGTGCACACGTTTGCCTTCATCATGGATGCTGGCGGCCATCGTTTTGATTGCCATGTCCTCTGGTGTGAGCCCAATGCAGGAAGTGTGTCTGAGGCCGTGCAGGCAGCTTGTATGGTGAGTCACAAACACTACAGCTGATTAAAGCAACACATTCATTGCAATCTAAGTTTTAGCTGCTCGGGTCACGATTACATACAGGCAGGTACAGCAGAAGAGGCTTGTTCTGTATTAAAATTTTTAGAGTTTTTTTAAGAATCAGACATTTTGTTTACTATTAGCTGAGCTTGTTGTCTTGGCTGAATTATTTTCCCAACTCTTGACCATTCTGTGACTTTTGGCCCAGTGTTTCAAAAAATGCCTAAAAGTCTTCCGCAGGAGAGCGAGGCTCTGTGACCTACAAACTTCAGAACCCCAAAATGATTTGGGGCCACTTCAGCAGAAATCAGAGCTTCTCTCTCTAAAATGTCATCATCCTGTCATTTATTTTCATAAATTCTGCTCATAAATTTCAAATCTAGTCTTGACAGGTCATTTTTGGCACTAATGACCTGTAGAAAGAGGTGCCGTGAACCCATTCTGTGGAGGTTTTCTACGCTTCCTGTCCGTTTCTGCTGTGTGACGTAGGAGATTAGACTGCAGGCCGGAACATTGATCCCACATCTGAACTTTGGATATATGGCCACACACACACACACACACACACACACGCACACACGCACGCACGCACGCACACACGCACGCACGCACGCACGCACACACACACACACACACACACACACACACACACACACTCACACTGAAACAGCTCGACAGTTGCAGGAATCATCAGTCACTATTATTGATCACCATCAGCAGTTTGCACCACTCCAGCTTTCCTCTCCTTTTCTCTCACACACACACACACACACACACACACACACACACACACACACACACACACACACACACACACACACACACACACACACACACAACACACACACAAACTGGCGTGCTCAGCAGCTGTAAGTCTTATTATTTACTGTATGTCTGTGTGCTCTGCCCCCCGACCCCCCCCCCCCCCCCCACCCCCCCCAGCTGCGGTATCAAAAGTGCTTGGTGGCCCGTCCGCCCTCCCAGAAGGCCTGTGGCTCGTCGCCGCCTGGAGACTCCGTGTCCCGTCGAGTCTCAACCAGTGTGAAGCGAGGCGTCCTGTCGCTCATCGACACCCTCAAACAGAAGAGGCCCGTCACTGAGTTGCCGCAGTAACCAGTAGCCAGACATTACGACCTTCCTACCGTGGCTCTCGTCACCATGGTCACACATTGCATCGCTGCTCAAACCCATCGCCACCTCAAACTCCAGGAACCATGGAAACCACTGCGAAGCTTCGGGATTTAGAGAACATGCCTCAGTTCCACCGTTCAGATTTTTTGGGAGCAAATAGGAATTGCAGTTTAGCAGTTGAGCAGCTTGTGGGGTTTTAAAGTCTGTTTCCTCAAAAGAACTAACTCTAATCCTGCAACAAGAAGGAGCAGCCCTGGGGGACACCTGAGGGATGATCGTGTACATAGACGTAATCCCCGCCCCTCTCAACACAGTGTGAGGAGAAGGAGGAGAAACCGAACAGGAGCAGAGCGGCGGCTGTGATGACTTATTGCTAACCCAAAGGATCACCTCTCCTTGCTCTTACTGTGTGTTTGTGTCTGCGCCTGCGTTGCCAGCATGACCTTCTAAAGCAGGCCACGCCCCCTGCCATTCACCTGGTTGTCCTGTTAGTCCAAAACTCTGTCCTCTCCGTCTCCTGCTTAGTGTCTTCATTCATCTGTAACTTTGAAGCCAACAAAAGAAGGAGCAACAAAAGCCATTGCATTATTTTTTTGTATCATTTGTAGATGGTCTGAGTCGAAGAACAAAAGAAGCTGCTACAGACTTGAGAGAATCGTCTGTCTACACCCTCTAACCTGCTCAACTGATCATGCATGAACTTTTTTATCTAAATGTGAACCTGTTTAAACAGTATCGATAGGAGTGCTGCTGCTTTCAGAGACTGAAGGAGATCAAAATCAGATCCAATGCTGATCTGCTATCCTGGTTTCTCTGTGCTTTGTGTAAGATTCAGCCCGGGAGGGTCAGAACGAGTGGTGACCTTTCACCTGACGCATCCCTCATTATCCTTGTTTTTTTTATATTGTTTTATCCCTAAGAAAATGACAGACAGCCGATAAAGAGGGAGAGACACCATCGCTCGTGCTGGAGGGAAACATAAAAGGGGAGGAGTGAGTGTTTTCTGACAAAAACTCACCCTCCGCTGTTTCCGAGAAGATGGCCAACAGAGAGTTGGTGTGACTCGAACTTGACAGGACTTATTATTTGGGTCTGCTGTCTGTTTTCTCCGTGTTCATCATATGAGTTTGCTTCCATTGTACCATAAGATGCTGAATCTTTTATTCCACGTAAAGTCATGAACACACTGTTGACTGGTAAAGGAGCAGGACAAATGGAACTTAATGGTTGCTAAGCCCCGTCTCCGGCCTATCCCTGTCCAATCACAGCCTCTTGAGACTGAGTTTGATTCAAATCTTTTAGTATCCACTGCAGATTCAGACAGGTGCTGTAACAGTACCTGTAGTCGTCCTGCGATTATTCACCTCACATGTTTAGCACAGAGCTGTTCAAGGGATACTAAGCAGATTGGCTTGCTTTTAGCACCCCCTAGTGTCCATTTATTGGTGTGTGTTTGTGCTCAAAGCTCTGTGGTCAAAGCAAAAGTGAAACCTATCTCCTCGCTGTGTGTTTGTCTTTAACATCTTAATCTAACAGCTGAAATGTCTCCCCAGACTTCTTTAGTTTCTAGAGGAGTGACTCATCACTAAATCAAACAAATCAGCTGTGTTCTTGATCTAAAGCATGCAAGAAACGTGCTGGAAGCAGACTGCAGCGCCGGGTATGTCAGCTCCATTTTTTTCTAAGTCTTAACAGGTGGAGGCCCAGCACTCTAAAGTTGCAAATGCAGTATTCTGGCCACAGGGGGGCAGTAGGGGTCTGAGTGACCTCATTAACCCTGTAAAGGTGCTGGTGGACGTTCTCAGTCATCCAGGTCACGGTAATCCAAAAGAGTTCAAATGAAAGCAACTGGACTTCTTTGGTTTCATGAAGATGTTTCGATTCTCATCCCAAGAGCTTTTTCAATTTTGACTGGAATATGGGAGAGTTGAGCTTTTATAAGCTGTAGATGTCTATTGTTATTTAACAAGCAGAAACTACTCCGATCCCCCCTCCTCTACCCCCTGATGAGTCGTTAGCCTCTATTGAGAGCGAGTCGTGTTGAATAGATGCAGGAAGGTGTGACGCTCCCATATTCCAGTCAGAATTGACAAAGCTCACCGGATGAGAAGCGAAGCGTCTTCAAGCCTTCATTTGAATCCTTTTGGATAACACTGTAAGGGTCATATTAGCTCATACTGACTCAAGAAAATCATTTAAAAACATGAAAAAGTTGCAGTATCCCTTTAATATACACACCAATATGTCACAGCTGATCCAGGAGCAGCTCGTGTTTTATTTAACGGTCATGATAGAGCAGAACCTGTCTCAAAACATGACTCAGCGGAGAGCTGAACACGGCAGGATTTGTGACATGGATGTTTTCTCTCTAAAAATAACACAAGCTTGGAGGAGCTTCTGCCACGTGGTTTAGTTGCTAATGCTAACGGTTAGCTTCTGCTAGCCGAGACTTTCTCTTCTCATTCTGGACGTTAAAACACCAACTGCATTCCTTATGGTGAGCCAGAGTGAGGGTGAGTCCAAGCGGCCGCTTGACGCAGGTCTATCAGGCTTTCCTAATCCAGAGTTTCACCTTCTATTTTCTATCAGAAGCTAATGCAGGAGACAGGTGTAGGAGACTATTTTCATGTTCAACCTGCACAAAAAACTCAAAGTGACTGATTATGATCAGAGATAATCATTAAAAAATGTTTTTCAGTGTTCCACACCTTTTCAAGGTCTGAACCGTGAACCAGGGGTACCATTAAACCCTTACCAGTCAGGGCTTTAACAAGCTGTACATTTAATATGAGAACAGTTGGTGTGTAGTTAATGGCTTCATTAATGATTCCTAACGCTGTTCTGCTAAAGAAAGTTGTCAGACAAGCAAATGTAGCTGTGAAGTTCAAATTCAGGATGGAATCTCTGCATACCAACATCATCTGCTTTAATTATTCCATTGATTAAAGGGGGCGGGGCTTAGCAAACAGTCCTGTGAAGAACTGTGTAGAATATTACAAGAATGTACCTGTTCAGATCAACATCTTCTATGAAATGTACAAGCTCATACCCTTACTGGAGGTCATTTTAGTTTTTGGTTTCCTCCCAAATTTCACATAAATGATCCAGTAATGGTGATCACAATAGAAAAGTAATTTGTGTCAGTGTTTTCACCAGGATGTTGGAATAAGACTTCTGTGTGTACAATCCATTTAATGTAACATTCGATTGTTATAAGCTACCTTTTCCTTTTTGAATGTCTATATTTTCCTCCTGTTTTCTCGTTATGAAATGCCTTTTTTTTTAAACAAACCAAATGGCCAAAGTGTAAAATACGTCTATAAATTGCTGTAGATAAGAAAATAAGAGAGCAAATAATGAAAACCGTTGAGGTGATGGGAAGGGTTTCACTCTTGTCTCTTAAGTTGATGCTGAATTTTACCTGTAAGATTATCTATGCATATTTTTGGATCGGGGGGGGGGGGGGGGGGGGTCAGTCGCAGAAAAAGCCTTGCATGTCACAGGCTTGTTGAAATAGAGACTTATGTATTGAACAGAAATATTTTTTATTTTATTTATTCTATTTTATAAAAGTATATACTGATTTAATTAGTTGAGGGCAAGTCCTGATGCTGTTTTGGTCAATGACTCGACATCACAACAGGATGCAGGAACAGTTTGCAGAAGAAATCAAATATAAAAGCAGAAACGACCTGAATACATCTTCACCCTGTACAGTTTCACCTGAAGCTGCTGCTCAGAGGGAGGAGGATGGTAGCAGTAAGACTCTCAGTGTTCCTGTCCATTTCACACAAACTCAACAAACACACTCCGTTTAGGTTAGGTGGATGTGTTAGCTTCTGTTTGCTGCTCACTGATTTGTACACTTAATCAATGTAACCAGTTGTGAGAATAAAGAGTATAAAACACCTCCTGATTCTCCGTGTTGAAGCTTCGATGGATGTGTAACGTCACAAAATGGACTGATTTTAAAGATCCCACAGGTCATATGCAGCCAGAGCAAATAACCCTGGCTGCTACGTGTTCTCTGCGTCTCAGAGCATTTGTTTCTGAGATTCTTGGTAAGTTTGGTCATAGATAACAGCGAGTATATTAACCAGCCGCTCTGCTTTCTCGGCAGTCGAGAGAGAAAGCTGGAGACTGGCCATCTCTTAGCAGATCTCTAGCTCAGAAAGATTTTGACACGCTGTCAAAACAAAGCTTTTTGCACCTGCGAAGCTGAAGAACAACAAGATGGTTTTCCTACAGAACGAAGCTGACTGAAACTCCTTCAGAGTTGATTTTGAGACGCTTGGTTCCATTTATCTATCGTTGTGACCTGGAGGCATCTGAGGACCGATTTGGTCGCATCGAGGTTTCTCTACAAACCAGATGCAGTGGGGTCGTCGGCTCCTGGACATCTCGGATCCAATCGGGGTCTCCAAATGGGTGAGGTAGACACAACAAGATGGCGTCTGCGTGTGGTTCTGATAATAGCAACTTAATAGTTCAGATGCAAACCAAATTCTTTTAAATCCAGAACGCACCTCTCTGAAGATACGGAGATCCTGATTCATCATCTCATATTCACACATAGTTCTCAGACACCCATCTTTTAGTTCCATCCACTCACAGGATAATAGTTTAAACCATTTGTCAAGTCTTAGTTGTTTGTAAAATAAATTCTTACTTGTTTGCAAACACTGACTGGTTCTTGAATCATAAACGAAGTGTGAATGATCCCTTAATAATTAAAATAATCCTAGAACCTTCTAGTTAATCATCCTATCACCAAGCTAGGTAATATTTTATAATTAATAGAGTATTACAGCTATCGGTCACAGGCAAGCCCCCACAATGCGGGTGAAAAATTGAAGCAAACCCGGAAATGAAATAAATTGCAGCTCCACCCTCATCCACTAGGGGCTGGTGTCAGAAACGAGCAAATCCTCATTGACTCCCATGTTAAAAATACCAATTTCACAGCAGAAATAAACATGTTTACAGCCTGGTTCCAAAACAAGTTTTTTGTTTAAATGATCTAGTTTACACTCAAGACAACTCTGAGGGGGGTGAATTTTTTTCTCACTCTTCTGTTTAAGTCTATTAAAAGCCTAAAATTCTGTACAATTAATGAGCATCAGACCCACGTGACCACAGCGCTAGCTCCCAGGAAAGGCCTCAGTAGAGCCTCGGTCTGGCCTGGAAACTGTTCCGGGATTTTGTGTCTCCGTGTTTGTGTATTCTTGTTTGGATATTTTTTGTGCAATTGTTGGACAAAAGGACTTGCTGTGGCATTAATTGCACTAATAGAGCATCCAAGGAGTCTCCACTTCATTTTTTTCGGTAAGTAAAATTATATTTATGTATTTTAGGTCACTGCTGAGCTGAGCTTAGATTTTAACATGTACTGTTTAACCATGAAATTTAAATGTAATAGGGTAAAACCCAGTGCATTTAACATAATGCTGCACTTTAGAAAATGGGTTGAAATATAACATGTTGGTGGAGCTGGGTTCCGACTGTCGGCTTGTGGAGCTCTCAGGAGACCTGTTGTCCACCCAGTTCTCCCCTCCCCGCAGTTCGGCGCATCTCTGTCTGATCGCGGCTTCTGTCTGCTGCGCGGGATGCCGGCTTGTGGAGCTCTGGGATGGAAACCTTTCAACCTGGTTCTCCCCAGTGGCAGCTCTGCCCTTCTCAGATTGCAGCAGCGCTTGTCTGCTGCGCGGCTGCCGGCTTGTGGAGCTCTCGGGAGACCTCTGTGTTCCACCCGGGTTTCCCAGCGGTCAGCCCGGCGTATCTCTGACTCAGAAGCTCTGGTGTTGTGCACAGTTAACTTCAGTTGTAGCTAGGTTGCTACCTCCGTTAGCTTAGCTCCCACCTCCGCGTTAGCTTTGGGTTAGCTTGTATCTAGTTCGACCAGGTGTCGTCAGTTGACCCCAGCCTTACAGCCCCACCCCTCAGCTCCACCTCTCTTCCCTTTTGTGGAATTGTCTGGGCTTAACGGAACCTGAGACACGGTCAAAATGGCGGTGGTGGCTACCTCCCATTTATCTTCAAAAACTTGTCATTGGAGTCTATGGAAACCCATTGTCCAATATTTATATGTTGATGGTCACAGGTAATGAGAATAGAAATAAATAGCTTTTAAAGCAATTTATTTAGCCCACATTACTCTACTATTTTCCAGATGTCTGTGCTTTTCTCATCTTATGTTTCTGGAATATTTGGGTTTAACACCTAAAAAGTCTGAGATATTTACCAAGAGAAGAGATTTTTCTGTGCAGTAGCAAAATAATATGTTTATGTTTATTCATTTAGCAGACGCTTTTAGCCAAAGCGACTTACAATTTATTACCTATAACCTATAGGGCATGATGTGGGGAAACCGGAGTACCCGGAGGAAACCCACTCATGCATGGGGAGAACACGCAACTCCAATAATAATACACTGTTAAAAATCCAACTTGCAATTTGTTTGGAGAGTTTAAAGTTTTAAGTCAGTTGAACGTTTTAACTTGCAAAATGTTAAGTTAATACAGAAAAAAAAACAGCACAAACAAGCACCTAAAAAGTTGACTGAACTTAAAATTGTATTGCAACTGGTTGCTTTACTTTTTTTAAGTTCACTGGACTTTTTTTACAGTGTAGATTAAGGCAAGCAGGTGTGCTAAAGAATGAGTCAACAGAAAAATTATGTAATTTTTACAAGTTTTCAAAATGATTTGAATAAGTTGTCTAAGACTACTAAAGTATCATAAAAAATGTTTCACTCTTGATTTTATAAAGCGTTTCCCAAAGTGAGTTTGCCTTTTCATCATGGGGGAACCTTTTTCAATACACCAGCAAACTTTCCAGATAAATAATTAGATTCTGAATTTCTGAAAACATTTTTTTCCCTCATTAATATACACTTACTGTCCATTTTATTATGTACAGCTGTTGAACTCATTAATACAAAGAGCAAATTAACCAATCACATGCATTATATCTCAATACATGGGAGACGATACGATATATATAGTATATGTACTATACACATCCAAATTGTTACCCCAATTGTTGTACATTAAAATATTCCTCTTCACTGAAATTCACAATCTGGGGAAAGTATTGATTTGAGAATATTTGATGAGTACATTTAATCTCCAGGTTCAGGCAGGAAAACTGATGATGTAGATGCTGACTCACTGACCAGCTGAGAGCTTTAGGTCTGAGACAACAGCTGTTAGACAAAGCTGCTGCTCTTAGAGGATGGTGAGGAGACTAGATCAGCAGCGTCCATCAAATCCCGAGTTGCTGCTGCAATCCTAGCTCAGACTACTGAATCAGTCATCCTTCAGGGTTCTCTCTGCTTCTTCAGGTGGAGTGTTTTGTCTCTTGGAGGCAGTAGGAAGAGGTGTAGAAGGACATGAGGGTTTCATCCCTGGATTGCCACTGATTTTGTGTGCTAAAGCTGTGATTGGAGACAAGTGGTTGGAAGGGTTTGCAGAGGAGATTAAAGCCAGCGTGAGACGTGGTATTCTCCTGGGTTTCATGCGCGTCTGTTTCTTCTTGGACTGTGGCTGATCCTCCTTTTTCTTTGTTTTCTTCTTGTGGCTTTGCTTTGCGTCTGTAGGAGAATTTTTAGTTTGCTTTAGATGTTTCTTTACCATCTTCTGCTTCTTTTTCTTCTTCTTTTCTCCCTTGATCTTTTGGTCTTCACCCACGTTTGCCTCATTAACCTCCAGGTTTCCTTCGTCCTTCTCTTCACGTTCTGAAGGTTCCTCTGAATCTCTCCCATCTACCGGCTCCCTTTCTGCCTCTTCTTGGCTGGAGGGGGATGAAGGTTTGCTGGTAGCTGAAACAGTTTGTTTCTTCTTGGTTTTTCTCTTTTTACCAGTTTTTAATGGTTCAGGAACGATGTCACCCAGGAGACCCTTTGCTACTGCCCTTGCGAGCACATCCTGGACGCTTTCTAACTTAGTGGGATCTGTCTGAGAGGGAGAGCAAAAGCTGTTTGAATAACACCCAAAAAACAAGCCTGAAGACAGAAATCACCACAGCCATGAGGAGAATATGAACGGTTATTTTGCAAAACACCTTTCCACTTCCTTTAATTTACTTTTACTCATCCACAAACCATGAAATACACAAAATAGGCCACTTTTACTGCAAGAAATGTGTTACAACAGGGCAGGATTTCTTGTTCTTTCAGCCTTTATGTTGTAAGAAAGAAGTGATTCTTTTTCATTCTACAACTCAGCTCTCCAAATAACGTGAAATCATCATTTGACAACTGCATTTTCTATTTACTGGTTTTCTTGATCCTGAAACCAGTTTGCTAATCTGAGACATTTAAGTTAGATAAAAGTAAACCAGAAGAAATCTGCAAGATGGTTGGACGCTTTTTCACAGCAGTGTGTCACAAAAGTGAGAATCTGCTGCAAAAAGTGGAAGTTTCCATCCCCGATAAATCATTTAAACCAGTGGAAAAATATGGCTTTTAGCGTCACTTATATACTGCTCAACATTTATAGATAATATGAAAAGGTATTTGATAATTTTCTGGCTTTGTGTTTCAGTGAGATGGATTTACTTGGTAGTATGGCAGCATAAAATCTGGTAGACAAAAGCTTTTTAGAAAAAAAACCTACTTTATCAGCCTTAAATGGACTTTGAGTTAATTTGTGAGCTCACATCTCTGCTGTTCAGTGTTACAGATGATGCTCTTTCATGTATCGTCCTTCGATTAGAAAGCTGACTTTAAAGACGTCATACATTTATTTGCCTGTGGGGAGTTCCTGTGTCTTTAAACACATTTTTGTGCCTTCTGGCTCAGTTTTTATAAGAGACAGAGTGGTGAAATCTACAGCTTCGGCCCTGATGTGAATTTATTTGCTATTAAACAGGAAGACATTGAGTTGGATGGACAAGTCCCCCCCCCCCCCCCCCCCCCCCAATATATTACATTTATAGTACCACAAACCGCATATTAATCTTTATAAAATAAGAAGTCAATTTTAAAGACCATTTTAACTCATTTGCTGTGGTCTCTAGTAAAAATAAATGCTTTGTGAGTTTATCTCTGTGGGGGAAAAAGCTCTGGCACTCCTGTTTCAGGAAGAAGAAGTGAGGCAGAGCAGAGGTGAGTGGAAGACGGATTTGGAGTCTTACAGTATTTCCTGATAATCTGACGTCTCGCCTTTAATTAGGCAACAGCAACTCTGTTGCTCTTTAACGCTGATGTTTTATCTCCACAAATAACACAAGCCTGAAGGAGTTCTGTCGTGTGGTGGAGTTAGCGTCTTCTAGCAGAGACGTGCTCTGCTGTTTCCTGGACACTAAATCAACGACAGCCTTCCCTGTCATAATCCAAGATGGGTGAGTCCATGAATGTTAATTTTCAATGTGACATGGAATTGACTGGCTTTTCTAATCTGAGTGTTTTGCTATCTATTTGTGGCTAATAGCGGAAATAGGGGTAGAAGACTATTGTTATACCTGCATATTAAACTCATAGTGACTATCACATTTCATAAATAACAAGCAAAAATGGTTTTGCAGTTAACCCTTTAAATTAATTATTTTTAATAACAATAAATGCACAATTACTTACATAAATCATAATTTAAAAACATGCCTATCACTGAGGCAACAAAACCAGGCTAATTAAAGTATTTTAAAATCTGGAACACTATAATTTGAAACATTCACTGAAAAATGTGACATCAAGTCTTTATTCTGAAATGTTTGTGTTTCAAATTTGAGGTAAATTTATGCAAATAGGTTTGAATGAAAAAGAATGAAAGAGTAATGCACAGCTAGGCTAAAATCTCCCAGAGTTAGCACAGAGACCAGTTTGCTGTGCCACCCTTTTAAATGCCCCCATGGAAAAATGTTCTAGGGGTACTACAAATTAAAAGTACAAGTAGAGTAGAATTCAACCAATAAAATGTACGTTGTGAGACAGTTTTCTTTGTCTGACCTTTTCTCCAGTTTATTCATTTTGCACAAACTCTTCAGCTCACTAATATCCTCTTGCTTACTTGCAGCAGCTGTTGTCTTTGAAATAAGCCAAAGCTTTTCGATTAGATTTAAATCCAGTGACCAAGATGGAACTGGGAATGTCTCTGTGGAATGATTCCTGGACTTCTGTGTGCACAAGAATGCGGTGCTGTGAGGCATGAAATTATTGCTTGTTCAGGCTAAACTCCTGCACCAGACAGGTGTTTTTCATTTTTTTACAACAACCTAAGTTTTTAAAGCAGGTTAAGGTTAAGCTAAGAGTGGTTGATATTTCCCAATACTGGAAAACAAACATGCACACATGTGTGCGCGCGCACACACACACACACACACACACACACACACACACACACACACACACACACACACACACACACACACACACACACACACACACACACACACACACACACACACACACTAGACAGAGGGAAATGAGTCAGTGCAGCGCAATCCATCTTAAACAAGAAAACTTGTTACAGTTACAGTCAGGCACGCATAAATTATCAATTTCATTATGTCAAAAATAAGAAACTGAAAAAAAAGGATTCCTTTGAGTATATTCTCTAAAATGTTAAGTTTCGATTGCTTCTGTCTGAGCACACGCTGATCTCTGCAGTAATTTTAAGCTGCGAAGGATCAAAGGAACGCAACTCATTTCCTTCTGATGTACTTTCTTCTTTTTATGAGCTAAAGAAAAGAAAGAGGAGAGGAAAAATAGATGAAGTGACTCAACAAGCCTGGAAAGAGTAGAAGAATCAAAGAATCCAATAATCTTTGCTCTAAAGCTCTGAATGTATGAGTGCTCTGGGTGTATTTTGTCCTCAGCATGTCTCTTTTTTATTGAGTACTAGATGCTACAGGATGTGTGTGTGTGTGTGTGTGTGTGTGTGTGTGTGTGTGTGTGTGTGTGTGTGTGTGTGTGTGTGTGTGTGTGTGTGTGTGTGTGTGTGTGCATGCCTGTGTGCCACTGAGCTGACTGACCTCCCAGCAGACATGAAGAGTGCCGTTTCAGCACTTCATGTTGCGCAGCAATCAAACACACACAGAAACAGGTGCTCGAGCACAAACACACACCAAAATGTATAATTTCCATTCAATTACTAACTAAACTTTTACATTTTTCAAACTTTGACCTCTCACACTCCCGACCCCTCCTGTCTCTCACCTGTCGTGACAGTGTGGCCACGAAGCAGCCGTTGGTGAACTGAGACGGTGGGAGTCTGAAGAACTTGGAGTTTGTTGCGTCTCCAGGCTGGGGGTCATCGTCTGGGAATAGTGGACCGGTCACTCTGAGAGAGCAGCACACACCAGGAGCCGGTCAACATTTATTCATCACTGCCACATAAGTTCAGCGTTGTCTTACTGTTGGTGCCCAGAGGATTCTGCAGCGTTGGTGTCAGAAAACACATCCAAGGTTCCATCAATTCTTCCAACGCACACAGAATACTAAAAACCTATCTGATTTTAGGTTAGGAGGCATTTTGTTGTTGAGGCAGGATTATATTTAGAGTGGTAAATGCAAAAGCAGGAAATAATCATTTTAAAGACTTTTTGGACATAAATTAGGTTAAATGGAAAACTTTAGAAGATATGTATGGGATTAGATTTGTGCCAATAGGATCAAGAAAAAAACACTTTGAAGATCAAACAAATATTAAGACAATGAAGAGAAAAAAATTTTCAAAAGAAAAACTCACTATCTGAATCAGCTTCTTGAAATGATCAAGATAAACACTTCGACAATCAAACAAAAATTAAGAAACTGACAGAAAAAAATACTGACTAAAGAAAAAAATTGTTTCAACAGTAAAACTTACTATCTGAATCTACTTCATAAAATTACTAATAAAGCATGTTTCCTTTTTCTGTTTGCCTCTATGTATTTTTGTTACAATTTCCTTTGTTTCACTCTTGCTGCTCAGAGCTTTGCTCTCACTGCCAGATTTGCACTTACACTTCAGGCATTCTCCTTTAAGAAGTTGATTCAGATCGTAAGTTTTTCTTTTGAAACAATTTATTTTCTTTTCAATGTCTTAAAATTTGTTTGATCTCCAAAGTGTTTTTTCTTGATCTTATTGGCACAAATCTAATCCCATAGCTTCGGTTCATGCAAACTGTCCGCTTATAACCTCAAGACACATTCCTGCTCCGGTGAATCCATTATCCACATTTTCTCACAGACTGACAGACTTTTGCTGAGAAAACAAAATCTTGTTTTCACATTACTAAAACCTAAAGACAGTATTGATTTGGAGCTTCATGAACAATGAAAATCTCAGCTAAAAGATACATTTGGGAATATTTTTCATTACCAGAGTTGTTGTTCTCGTCTTCCATACTATCAAGAGAGTTTGTGGCCAAAATTCACAATAAACTATCACTTTGAAACTTAGAGAGAAGCGTAAAATCTGCATTGGAGACAAAATTGAAGTTATTCAAAGCCCACATGAGATCTGGGAGGACGAAAAACGTTTGTCCGATTTGTGCGTCTTGGCCATAAATCTGTATTTATATCTACTTATTAGAAAGCCCTGCTGCTCCTTATTTGCCTTATTATGACATCACAATAAGGGACTTTTCTAAAGGGCTCGTGGAAGAATATGATTCCCTAAAAACCAAGTATTGAATGAAAACCAATGGACTATTTGAAGTGTTTATGGAGGCAGTAGAGATGCTCGTGGCAGCACAAAAAGATGTAAAAAGGAGTTTTGCAAATTATGTCCCAGTTTAAATACGTTGAGGAATGATTTCCCCAGGACGAAACAAAATAAAGCATGACACCAGCTGTCATCAGAGCCATAAATCAGAATATTATCAGACTCTATGAAAGTTGGTGACAGCATGACACTAAATCTTATTTCTCACAACAAACACAAAACTGAAACTCCTGTCTTGATTTCAGGCTGCTATAGTGAATCTGCAAGCTAGGTTTTGAACGCAAACAGGGTCATAGAACACTCATTCCTCTCCTTGGATATCTTCCCGGGATTCATGTCCACCTGAACTGGAAATCCACATTGCCAGAAGAAATGAGATAGCGCAAAAAAGTTTTGTCGTTTTCTAGGTCCAAACGTCTTTAGTTGTTTGTGAATTCAAATGGTGTTTTTCTTTTTGGGACTCTGGTGGTTTGTCCTAAAATTCTAGTGGTAGCAGTTTCTCCTTCTCTGATATTATTGAGCGGAGAACCGCTCACACCAGTACTGTTTTGTTGCTAAATATGCGAGTACGTAATGTATGGAGGACCAACAACCAGATGATCCATTGGGGTTTTAGGCAAATGCGAGAGAACCACTTTATTAATAACTATGTTTATAACTATACTATGTTAGAACGTTGTTAAGAGGCTGATACAACCCCGACATGTGGGGAACCAGCCTGGCCACTTTGGATGCAGGAGCCAGGATCACCTAGCCTCGGTGATCTGCCAGACACCGCCCCTCCTCCAGGCTGCTGAGGAGCACAGCTGAGATGAATCTCTCGGACGACCCTCACCTGGGATAAAAAGGCTGTGCCTTCAGCAGTCTGGCAGCCAGCAGTGCGGGGGTTCTGCCGTCCTCCAGGCCTCCGATTTCTTTTACAACCCTGACATGTGCTGTTAAAATGTGAAGGAGGGGGTAACATTAGAAACATGACAGTGATTAAAAATGGGTTTAATTGTCAAAAGGTTGAAAAACAAGCGTGTAGACTGGAGGCATTATTAAAATAATGCCAAAAAAACCCTCAAAAAGGTAAACATTAAAAGACCAATTACCACCATTAAAAACACCTGGTTAAACCTTATGTTCAGTTTTACCAAACAGAAGGTGTTTTAAAACCAAAGTCAATAAAATTGTATCACCAAGTTCACTTTTAAAACGACCCCTCTGGATCACTCAAAGCTTTAACTCTTTAAAGCTCATCAACTCGGAGTTAAAACTATTCAAAACAAAAGGGTTTAAAACGAAATCTGAGGCCTGGAGGACGGCAGAACCCCCGCACTGCTGGCTGCCAGATTGCTGAAGGCACAGCCTTTATATCCCAGGTGAGGGTCGTCAGAGAGATTCATCTCAGCTGTGCTCCTCAGCAGCCTGGAGGAGGGGCGGTGTCTGGCTGATCACCAGGGCTGGGTGACCCTGGCTCCTGCATCCAATGTGGCCAGGCTGGTGCTTATAACAGAGGCATAAAAAATGTATTGAGATCATTTGTTTTTTTTTTATTTTGGTATTGCAGCTTTAATACGAAAGCTTAATGGTCGACTTCACTCATATTTTTAATACATTTGCAGTGATCTCTAGCAGGCTGTAGGAGTTAGTCATAGGAGAACGTGGCAGAAAACAACAGGATTGGAGTCTTATTTCCTGATATTTTGATATTACACTTCTGATTGGCTAACAACAACACAACTCTTCCACTGGCTCTGTTTGCTCTGCATTGTTGATGTTTTATCTCCACAATTAAAACAAGCCTGATGGAGTTCTGCTGTGTGGTGGAGTTGCTAATGCTAACAGTTAGCTTCTACTAGCGGAGACGTTCTCTGCCGTTTCCTGGACGCAAAACCAACAACAGCCTTCCCCGTCGTGATCCAGGAAGGGCGAGTCTATGAATATGAAGGGACAGTGTGACGTAGATCTGTGGGGCTTTTCTGACATGTTAACTCAGAGTGTCTGATCCTTTCCAAACGTAATCAGTAAAATGGTTTCTCAGTGAACCTGCTCTTTTAAAACCCACACACACACACACACACACACACAAAGAAATAAACTGCTGATCTTCTGGCTGAAAGAAAAAACATATTGAACTTCTTCATGAGGATGGATAGAAGGAAATTGCTTTTGTGAAGCAGCACAAAAAATCTTTTCCAGCCAATTGACTCAAAAATTTAAAAAAGGATCAACTTGAGGAAACAGCAGCTGATCCTTATGCTGTTATCGCTTTCTCATTTTCACCCACACTTATATCTCCCTAGCTATTCTTAGGTTCATTTGAATTCACCACGGTTTTATCAAGATGTAAAAGCTGCATATAGTCCTGATAATCACTGTCAGCATTAACACTAATGGTGGCACAGTGGCAAAAAACATATGTAAAATGTTGATTAGCTCAATATCCTGTTAAAGTTATACATCTTGGATTAAAATGTGTATTTGACTATATCATGTACGAAAGGTTTATCCTTTATGATTAAAATATTTGGGTTTAATATGTCAGCTTTTTCGTCATTAAAACCGGAGCTTTAGGCTTTCGAATGACATAAAGTCTACCTGAAAGGCAGTAGTTTGGGGTGGGTGTGTATTTTCTCCAGCACTCTCCTCACCAGCTGTTCATTCTCCTCTGGATAAACTGAACGTGTGCAGTAGACCACTGTATGGACCTTTGGAACTGACAGAAGATGCAGAGGGGGAGATAAACTGTAGAGGTATTTATCACAGAATGCACTCATGTCTAGCAGTGTCTGTTTGATTAAAGCGTAGAAAAGCGCGATGTCAGATCTGTACTCACAGGAGAGCGCGTGTCCCAACAGTCGGGCTTGATGGTTGGTCAAAGAGTAAATGTTACTCTTGGAGATGGAACCACGGGATAGGTCTGGCAGCAGATTCCAGTCTGTCAACAAGCGTTTAGAAACCACACTTGCTTTATGTCAGATAAGAATTAGATTTCCTGTTTTAATGGTTTCCCTCATTCACATCCTACATCCATCCTTATTTGTCACCCAACTGCAGCATCAGCACCAAATTTAAATACACATCAAATCATCAACCATCCTCTTACCATCTCTGCACACTTTACATAAATCTGCTTGACCAGGTGTCCTTTAGCGTGCAGTTCAGTATGGAAACTTCAACTGTTATTTTTATTTTATTTTTTATTCTACTGTTTAATATAATGTCCTGAATTTTGGTTTGGGATGAAAAGTCAATGCTGCCTTATTCAGGTTTACTGATAATATTCCATTGACTGTGAATAAAGCAGTAAAAGCTCTTGAGGCTTTGATATTAATCAAACTGATTATGTTTAGCTACCTTTAGCCCTGCCCAGAACATGGAAATATGCATTTGGAAATGAAGTCAGAGTGCAATAACTGGATTTGGGTTAGGATGTTAGAAAATAAACATAGTAAATGATGGTTTGATTCTGTTAAATAAATATTTATTAGAGTGGAACATGAGTTGAAAACCAGTTAAAGAAACAATGTTTTAATATTTTATGACCCTAACCCACTTAAAAGATCTCATTCTGAACAAGATTTACTCATGTTCTGTATTGTTTTACACAATTTGGTCAGACTGATTGTTGACTAAAATAAAATTACTCTCTTATCTGGAATGTAACAAAATCACTAAAAATGATGTATTCTCTTAAATGTACCTATTTTTGTTCATTCTAATAAAACCCATGCCAGCCGTACCTCCGTGCTCGCTGTGCATGGCGTTGACTGGATCATTGAGGGCAGAGGATGAACACTGGGGAAGCACCATGATGACCCTTAACCTCTGAACGATGGCATCCCCCTCATTCAGATTATAGAAAGCTTCAGACAAGACTCGAACATCTGCAGCAAGATGCAGACAAACAACAGGCTTTGGGATTTAGGTTGTGATGCTTCCTTTAAAAAAATGCTTTTCTAATTTTGACAGAACCTACAAGGACTGAACTGCTAAATGCACCAATAACTTAAGGGGACAATTTGAAACGTTTTAATATTTTTAAATCAATTTCTTGAGCCAGTATGTGCTAAAATGACCCTTTACAGGGTTAATGAGAAGCCACCCAGCCCCTATCGACCCCTGTGGCCAGACTATCACACTTGCAACATCACAGTTGCCACGGTCTGATGGGAATTAGAAAAAACTGAGCTGAGGTACCTGATGTTGCTGTCTGGTCTCAACACATTTCCTGCATGTTTTAGATCATGAGCACTGCTGATTTGTTTAATTTAGTAATGAATAACTCCTCTAAACACTTAGGAACGCTAGGAGACGTTTCAGCTGTTAGATTAAGGTGTTAAAAAGACAAACGCAAAGCGAGGAGGTAGTTTTGCTTCTACAAATGGACACTAGGGGGTGCTAAAAGCAAGCAAAACTGCTTAAAGGGCTATTTCACCTAAAAGTGAAATTTTGTCAGTTGACATGTTTCCCAGAGTTAGTTAAGTTGAAAAGAACAATTTGTAAACAGTCCAGTCATTCTCCTGATCCAGATGTACTACTTTAGCTTTAGCTTAGCATAAACAGTAAGTGGATGGGTCCAACTAGCATTGTGATCAAAAAGGTGCAAAACAATCCGTGTGTGTTTATTTTATAGTGGTTTGCTTACAATGTGCATCTGTGTTTATGGAAGCAGGCGTCTTTGGGGCGGCCTTGCACCCGTGCTTTGTCATAAAGTAGTCCCAAGTCTAAAACGGCGCCTGTGATTCCATAATGTTGCTAATTATTTTCACTTACAGTCCTGGTTTTTTAGGTCACCAAGCAGAATTGGGTCACTACTGGGTGATTTCGATGACTTTTATACTCACAGTGCTAATTGGATCCATTCACTTAGTGTTTAATGCTAAGCTAAAGCTAAAGTAGTACAGCCGGATCAGAAGAATGACTGGGCTGGTTACAAATAGTTTATTTTTCCCCAATTATCTAACACTGGAAATATGTCCACAGACAAAATTTCCCTTTTTGGTGGAATATCCCTTTAATATTTTTGAACTGTGGGTGCCGTGCAGCTTTCAGGTCAAAGGCAGAGCAGCAGCAACATGACACGCAGGTTTCAAATTAGAGTTATGCTACGGATAATCTTCATCCTGCAGGTCGGACCTGTGGGTTTTTGTTGGATGGGGCCCCACCGAGGGGGATAATCATGTCAGAGGACACTCGAGTTTCTATGCTTTATCACCATCACAACCATTGCCAAAACATTTACCTTGTTTAATAAACACTAAATAAACACTCGTCAATTCAAAATACATGAACTGAATTTAATAATCTGAACAATCTCCTTGTGCTTGCCAGGGAGTCGGATTAAAATAAAAGAACTAATAAAACAAGCACACGACACTCAGTAGGGATGTTACTTATTAAATAAGCAGCATTGAGTGTGTGAGTCAAACTACTGGTGCTCATTTTCAGACTGAGTGTGAAGATCGAGCTGCTTGCTCTGAGAGTTTTGATGCTGAACTTACCAAACATGAAGATCTGCACCAAGGATGAAAACACAAATGTGGCACACAACAAACAGAGTTAGAAAATAGCTTTTATAGCCCCATTGACTTGCATTCATTTTTTCTTACTTCCAGGGACCTGTTGTTTAGAGTTAGATGGGCGTGGCTTAGGCTTCCTATTATTCATGATATTTAGACATCTCGCCTCTGATTGGCTAACAGCAATGCAACTCTTTCACTGCCTCAAATCGCTCCGAATGTTCGTGTTTTAACTCCACAAATAACACAAGCCTGAAGAAGTTCAGCCATGTTGTGGAGTTGCTAATGCTGACGTTAAAGAGTAAGTAAACCCAAAAATAACGTTTGTTTTTGCTTATAAACTGTATAAATGGGTCTTTACAAATGCAATCTTTTAGTTTCTGTGCATTTTTTGACATGTTTGTGTAAACATGATTAAAGAGCAAGTAACGTCTAAATTAAAAAAATTTTTTGCTGATGAACTGTATAAATGAGTGTCTAATAGTGTTTAAAATGTGTGTTTTTATTATTGTAGCATTTTGAAGCATTTTCTTTAAAAATTAAAAATTCTGCCTAAATACCACAGTATAGCGCCACCTTCAGCATAAAACATAGAGTTTGAGTCATTTTGAATACACTTTAGCCAACGGCTAAAGAGAAAGATACTACGTAAACCAGTAGAGTACTACATAGCAGCTCTGTGTCAAAGTTATAAAAGCATCGAGTCTCGGCCACGCCTTGTGGCAAGTTGGGAGTTGGATTTGCAAGCGAGTGCAGGAGGCTAGCGGTAGTTCAGCATTAACATATAGCATTAGCATATCCTAATCTTTAGCATAGCTTTTAGTGTTATACATACTTATTTAGTGTTAGCTTGGCTGTTGGATATTGTAGTTTAGTTAGTGTTTGGCTGTTAGTGTAATTAGGAAAGTTGTTCGGGTTTAGTGCTCCATATCGTGTTAGAATGGTGAGAAGGTGTAGTGTAGTGGGTTCGGTTGCTCTGTGGGGTTGCACTCCTTTCCACTGGACTTAGAAATTAGGCGCCAGTGATTGTGCGCTATCGGTGTACTGGAAAACAGTCCGCTCCCGCCTGGTGCTGTAGTTTGCAACCAGCATTTTACCCGCTATTCCTTCGCCAACATGATGGAGTTTGAAGTGGGTTATTCTGCACGTTTCCGTTTGATGAGGGAGGCTGTGCCCACTTCCACAATTTAGATGCAGCCCACTGACTCTGCTCCCCCAACATGGTGGGCTCCAGTCTGAGGTGAGTAAGCTAAATAAAAATTTTAACATCTTCTAAAGACAATTCCCTACCTAAATGCAAAGTTTAAGAGACGTGGTTCACTCCATTTAGCTAATATCAGTCTGCACTGCCTTCGGGCTGATTTGCCAAGTTCACAAAATGTGGAACGGGATGTAAGGTTAGAATCAGCGGCGAATCGGAACATATCTCGAAGCCCTAGCCGACGAAACGGTCCACATGACTATTACTGTCAGGCTCTGAGAAAATTCGGGTTGTTTTTGTGTCAGTCGGTAATTCTGCTAACCCTAACCCTAAAGGTTGGTTTATGCTTGACGCGTCCGCGAGGTCCGCACGGCTCCGCGCGGAAAAGTTGCGTCATTTTGCGTCATTTTAACAACCACGCCCCTCCGCCGCGCCTCCGCACAGCCCAGAATTTCCGCAACGCGCACCTCGGAAAATTTCTAACCACGCGGATGGACGGACGCGGAAAAACATGGCGGACCGGCAAGAACTAGTACGGCAGAGGTTCGTAAATACAGTCATTTGTATGATTCAGCTCTCAAAGATCACCGTGATCAACATGTTGTTAATAATTCTTGGAGAGAAATAGCTCGCACTGTCGGAAAAGACGAGGACGCTGTTAAAAATGCTGAAATGCCATGTTGTAAAACAGTCATTTCTACTTCTACTATGGTGTAGTGTTGGATGCTTGCCGTAGAGCTCCATGCTGCCACGTTCAGTTTGGGAGAATATTGGCTCACCGCAGAGACGAGCCGCACGAACCATAAACACTGCGAGTTGTGAAGCGCGTCCCAGCCGCGAGCCGCATCACCAAACGGAAAGTGAATGCGTCAAGCATAAACCAAGCTTAACCCTAACCCTAATGCAGCACTAGTTGACAGACAGCATTACAGCGTGAAATCCAGCTTTACACCACAGCGTGACCTGGTTCTGTAAGGAATTCTGTTCAGGAGGTCGCATTTCAGGTTTTTCACATCATATGTGACTGACTTTTACGTTATAATAATGATCACACACTAGGAATGTTATAAAGTGCCTATATAGGACAGTTTCTTTTGTAGATTATCTGACTTTATAAACTCCAACAACAAAGTGCTTCTATTTTTTTTTTCAGGCTAAATCTACCCAAGACGTTGGCTGTCAGACTGATTTAGTAGTCTGCAAGAATGCACTTGTCCAGGCTGACGTGAAGCCTTACCGGCGTAGCAAAGGTGAATTATTTTTAATAATCGTCTATGTAAACATTTTATTATCACCTTCTAGTTTTAATTTGTTTTACAGATTATTGTTACACGTGATTTTATGCGCTAGTAAACATTTATAAATGTGCTGTTTCTTTATTTTTTTACATAGCCACCCAGAATAGAGCTCACAGCCTCAGTGTGTCTTGTGACACAGGGACCATGACGGAAATTCATCTTCCAGAAAGTCCCAGAGCAGCGTCCACACCCCTGAAAAGACCAAGATGTGAGGTGTCTGCTGTTGATTCCAGCTTCCACCTCAGTGACAGTGCAAGCTCAGTGAACTGTTCAAGGTAAAACAATGAAAACATTTCAGAATTTTTAAGATATTAACAATTAAATAAGTATGTCATTACATCATGACATCATGAAGGAGGCTACTGATTCTGGCCCTGTGACACTTGGTGGTGACATGTGAGCTGATTCACCTGTTAAATGACTTTTACATTAAATATTTTGTTTTTGCTATCAAAAGTAAATTAACTAATAACCTGCATTATTGCAGGATACTCAGCAAAATATGGACTCTACACCATGAGGCAGACACACGTTAATACTCTATAAGAGCACATAAGGTGAGCAACACTACATACTATTGTTATTGTTGTACACTGTCCTGGATTTGCTTTCTTTCTGCATCTCATCATTAGCCTGGCTGATCCCCTGATAACTCCTGTCATCTGGTTATGACAGCATGAGGATGTCCTCACACACCTGTAACCTATCAGCTCATCTGGCAGAATAGAGAAAGAAGAGACAACACCACATCTCCTGTTCCTGGAAAGCCTTCAGCCATCCTTCGATGACTGAGAACCTCCATCAGCTCTGTCTCCTGTCTGCCTACAATTATTATAATAAATATTGTGTTTGAAAAGTTTTTTGTGCTGCCAAATATCTCATTTTGATTCCATTTGATTTTACATTAATTGAATTATCACATTGTTGCATGTTTAACTAGCTCTATCGTGACGAATTAAACTAGCACCTCACTGTAAAAAGATCGTTTTAATTTCAAGCATGTTTAAGTATTTATGGACATGAACAAAAACAGGAAATATATAAATTGAGATTTATTTAATTAATATAACAAATAACTGTTTAGAGGGGGAAGGAATCATTCAAAGGCACATTCTTCTGGAAGCTCCTGATCCTGACGACACCAGCAGGAGACCACCTGCAGACACCAGAGGATCACCTACGACCAAGAGAGCAGCTTGTATCAGTAAATAAATAATGAAATCAGGGCAGCTTTAGTGGGCTGAACACATTACAGAATAATTTTCTCATGGGGTAGTTTCATAACTTTCTATGCATCAGACTGTAACTTAAGCCCAGGGCTCCTGGAGAGCTGCAATCCAGCATGTTTCAGTGGTTTTCCTGCTTTAACAGGTTAGATTAGCTGTTAAGCAGCTCAGCTATTTGTTGCTGATTTAAACCAGGTGTGTTGAAGCAGATAAATCTCTTAAACATGCTGAATACTAGCTCTCTAGGGCCATGGAGCCAAACCCTGCAGCTAATCTAATGCTATGGCTAAAGGCTACTTACCATTCAGAGCTGGTTCTGTTGAGTCGGTTCCGGTAGTTTCAGGCAACTCACAAGCTCAAAACAATAAGGCTCAGGTCCGCTTGTCTCCTCCAAATAGACTTGTGCCCTTTCTTCTTCTCGTGTCTGGGTAAGGAGGGGTAGAAACGTCCTCCACTTCTAATGACTGCTCAGAGTGAAGGAAGCTAGCTTTGTCTCGTTACCCATCATCTTCGTCACTGCTGAGGCTCCGCCCTCTCGGTCCGCCAGGCAACGCCTACTAATGTTGCAGTTTTTAAAAATGATATGTGGGTGGAGAAGGACTCTGAGGCACACTTGACCTGCTCTTTAAATCCAGAATCTAGGTCTAAAAACGCCTTAGTGCTATCCCCTGTGGGTTGAACTGACTACTGCATTTTAAATTCGTGATTGACTGGGGCTGGTCCAATTTCACGTCACACTACAGTCTCCTCCCACTCCCCCTCCTTTCTGGGATGGAAATTCCCCACACTTGGCCATGCCACTCCATGCCTCCTGGCGACGCCCACTTTCATAGCATGTTTGAAACCATGACTAGGGATGGAGTTACGTTTTCTAATGGTGTGCAGTCCCTCTTTAAGCTTCTGCTAGCTGAGACGTGCTTTATTCTCTCCTGGACGTTAAATCCACAGCCTTCCCCATCAGGAGGCAAGACGGGTGAGTCCATGAATGCTAATTTTCTGTGTGACGTGGATCTGAGTGTCTTTCTATTCCGAGCATTTCCCCTTCTATTTCCTATCAGCGGCTAATGCAGGAGACGGGTAGAAGACTATTTTCACGTTTAGCCTGTTCATGAAACTTAGAAACAAAAGGTAAAAATGGGTTCATTGGTGAACTTGCTCTTTAACACTGCTCTACTGTCTACCTGAAGGACAGAGGCTGATTGGCTCACAGGTTGGGTGTTGCTAGTGTAAATGCCCACTAGCAAAGAATTGCATGTATTTAAATGGCTTACAGCTGGTTGGGTAAATTAAAAGGTCAAGATTTTTGTCAAATAATTCTTGTGTATCATGTAAACAACACAGGACAGTGTGTTGGCTAAATTCAGTTTGATTATATATCATTTAATAAACTTCAGTGCTTTTGATTTGAACTGAAATGGAATGATTCAGAGGCTTGACTCACTGATTTGGATGATTAATGAATGAAACTGAACCTAATGATGAATTTGGACTTGAGTTGAGATTATCGTCTGTATCAGTCAGTTTCTCGTATCCCCGTGTTTAGCATTCCTCACCCTGTGAGCAGATATTCACACACACACAATCACTTACTTTTAATACCCATTTGTGTGAGCAGCTGCTGAATCTCCTCCACTTGTGAAGGCGTGTGATCCGCGCCACACACCAGGACTCGGCCTGAGCGAGCGGCGGCTACGACGGCAGCGTGAGCCATGGTCAAAGCTGAGAAGGAGCCCGCTAACAAAACGTCTCCTTTATCAAACTGCAGGGGCTGCAGCACACTCACCGGTACACACACACTCCTATCCTGTGCGATATTATGTCACACACAGAGGAAGGGAAGATTGTCAAACAACATGCAGGGCTTTTTTTTTCAATATAAAAAACATCACAGTCTGTTCTGTAGCTAATCCAGTTACACAAATGTCTCAGTTTTAAACTTTGAAGCACAGCAGAAAGTCAAGCTTTATTTAAAGCAATGCCCATCCTTTCAATTAGTCTAAATCTAAATAAAAATGAGCAAAGTTTTACTCTTTATTTTTCACCCACATTTGCCCTGGAATTATTCTACCTGTATATTTAGCAGATGTGTGTTGGTGAGGGTGTTCTGCTGGAGGAAAGTGTGTAGATGCCGAGATAGGACCAGTGCATCTGCACAGAGAGGGTCCCTGCAGAACGCTGAGTCTGTGAGCTCAGTCATGGTCTTCACTTCACTCAATCTGGCTTCTTTTAACGCGTCACAAACCTCATCGAGGCTGCAGAAAAAGATGTTAGAGGCACACTTTGTGCAGGATATTTACTGAAAATAAGGTGATAATAAGGTGTTCTGTTGTTAATGTGTAACCACAACACAAGCAGCTGCACGCTCTTGTGCCATTGCACTCTGGTTAACACCCCACCCACCTTACCCTTACACCAGTATACACAGTATAAAGATAGACCAAGTGTCTCTCCACCTTCTTCTGCTTTTAGCCACATGAAGCTGAGGCAAAACGAGAGGAGTTTGGAGAGGCAATGGAGAAAGACCAGCTAGGGTGGGGGATAGTGGCAACTCACCTACAGTGTTTACGGTAGAGTCAGGTATCTGCAGGTGTCAAATGGGCGTGTGGAAGGAATCCTTGGAAGATCGCCCTAATTCCTTCAACATGTGTGCTGATGAGGAATCAGAGCCATGAGACAAGGATGGGTTGATGTGCCTCTGCGTGAGTCGGAAAAGGTTAGAAGGTCTTCGGTGGGGACGAGGTCCTGCCCAAACAGGAGGGGTTTAAGGAGTCTTGTTCACGAATTAGGGAAAGATGTAGAGGGAGGTCGATAGGCGGTATGGTGCTGCATCTGCAGTGATATGGGAAGTGTAACGATCTGTCATGGTGATCGATTTACCAGTCGATCTACGTTCCAACCCTCAGCTATGGTCACGAGCTGGGTAGAGACCTAGAGAACAAGATTGTGGCTGAAATTTGTTTTTTCCTGCAGTGTGTCTGGGATCTTTCTTAGAGATAGTGTGAGAAGCTCAATCATCCAGGAGAGGCTCGCTGTAGATCCATTGTTCCTCCACATCAAGAGAAGCTTGATGAGGTGGCTCGAGCATCTGGTTAAGATGCTTCCAGGACACCTCCCTGGTAAGGTTTCCCAGGCACATCCAACTGGAAGGAGACCCAAAGGAAGACCTAGGACACGCTGGAGGGACTATGTTTCTCATCTGGCCAGGGAACACCTTGGGTTTCCCCCATGGAGCTGGCCCAAGGGGCTGGGGAGAGGAAAGTCGAGGCCTCTCTGCTGAGGTTACTACTCCCAGCACCCAAACACAGATGATTGGAAGAAAATGGATGGATGAACATTGAGTTTACATCAGAGGAAGTTCCTGTGAAGTGGCAGACCAGGGTGGTGGTCCTCTTTTTAAGAAAGGGGAGTGGTGGGTGTGCTCCAAAAAATGGAGGCTCATGCTCCTAAACCACCTGGGACAGGTCCAAGGTCTGACGTGGAGGGCTAGTTTCAATCTCAGACTCGAGCATGCTAAGGCATAGTTTTTAATAGATTTTAAACTTGGTATTTAATTTAAATAAGCAAAGCTAAAAGCTTTGGAAAACATGCACCTGTACCTTGTCTTTAGCGTGTTGATCCATGCGTAAATTGGAAGACATTTTTCCTGATGGCCTTTTGTTCTGACAGAGTCAGACAGGAAACAGGAAACACTCTGCAGACTATTTTTGACTCTGTAACGCCCCAGGGCGGCTGCCAGCTTGGTTTTACACCTGTAACAAACATACATAAATGTCAGAAATATATATATATATATATATACACACATATATATATATATATATATATATATATATATATATATATATATATATATATATATATATATATATATATATACACACACAGTATAAATGTGAACATTTTGTTTGTGTTTTTCTGCTCACTTCTGCAGACTTCTCTCCAGGTCCCTGACTGCCTGAATGGCCTCCTGATCATCTTCTGTTGGCCGCTTATGCAGCACAAACTTCCTGTCCTGGAAGTCGAACAGCATCACCATCGCCAACGGTAACAGGTCACCGTGCTGCAAAACATAGCAGACAAATAAATGTTAGAATGAATATAGTTTTTACAGATATTATCTGACTTTAAACTAATTTCATTTAAAAATAAGTAAGCCGCTGAGTTTTAAGCTAGCATGAGAAACTTCTCAATATTTGCTCCTTTTCACAAAATGTTTTCTTTATTTTTGTCAAGATTGATTGATTAAAATATTTCATTGTGTTTAACTGTAACTTGTAAAAAAAAACTCTTTCTGCCCTGATTTGTGTGTCTAGTAATTTTGCAGAAACAAACTGCTGCGTATTATTAATATTTGACATTATTGCTATTTCCAGACATAAAAATGTAGAAAACAAGACTGCACGGTGCTGAAGCTGCATCACTGCTGCAGTACAGCTGTATCTTCTAAACTTATCTGGAACTGTTGTGCACGTTCTCCATTGCATGCATGCGTTTTCTCCAGGTACTCTGGGTCATACATGTTAAGTTGACTGAAAACGTAAAGCAACACTAAAGGGTTTTTACCACTTTAAGTTATTCCTTTCAAACTGGTTTCTGTGATTCTTGAGCCAGAAACTTCCTCTGTCAGATCGCCCCAGGGTGGCTGTGGCTGTGTGTGCATAAAAGCGTCTTTGAGTGTCCTAAACAAGCGCTATATAAGTTTGATGATTATTATTATTATAAGAAGAATTTAGCTTTTTTTGGCATCGGCTGTGTGTCTGAGGGGAATGACCAGGAGTACAGGTCAGTCATCAGGTCAGTCATCATGGATTTTTTGCACTGGTGTGGGCATAACCACCTTTGGTTGAACGCCAGTAAGGCAAAGGAAACGGTGATTGACTTCCAAAGATACACTCCACCTCACTCACCAGTAAACATCCACGGAGCAGACACTAAGGTGGTGAATACCTTTAAGTACCTGGGTGTTCACCTCAACAGCAAACTGAACTGGTCCAACAACACAGATGCTCTGTATAAGAAGGGCCAACGCCGCCTCCACCTCCTGAGGAGGCTGAGGCCCTTCGGAGTTAATTCCCATCTGCTAAAATCCTTTTATCACTCTGTGGTTGGCTCTGTTATCCACTCTGCTGTGGTCTGTTGGGTGCAGGCAGCTCTGACCAAGACAGGAAGAGACTGAGTAATGGGCCATTCCCATCTATACCGGGTCGGCCCGGGCCGGGTAGCCCCAGTCGGCCCCAGCCTGGCCCGGTTGATTCCACACATCCTTGTCTTAAGCCCATGTGGGCTGATTCTACCCACCAATCAGAGGCTTGCTCTAATGGAAGGTGTGAATTTGCTGTCAGCAGTGGGTGTGTTGGCCCTGGTCGGCCTGAAGCAGACCCCCTCGAGAAGAGGGCTGAGAATGAGCCTTGGTTGGCCCGGAAAAATACCAGGCCACCCAGATATGTAAACAACCTACGCTACCCGGCCCGGGCCGACCCGGTACAGATGGGAATGGCCCATTAGTTCTCAAAGCTAGCTCAGTTCTGAGCTGCCCACTGGATACAGTTGAGGAGGCATGTGAAAGGAGGATGCTGGGGAAGATGACCACCATCTTAAAAAAACCCTCCCACCCACTGCATTCCACTGTGGAGACCATGGACAGCTCCTTCAGAGGCGGACTGAGACATCCCAGATGTAAACCAGAACGCTACCATAGGTCATTCATTCCATTTGCACTAAGAATGTATAACTCCTCAGTTTAAGCTGTACTGGCATTATCCCATTACACAGTAACATCAATGCAATATTCTTTATGTTGTTCAATACTCATGCAATACCGGATTTACATACTGTAGTATGTCTCTTGCAGTATGCTGCATAGAGCTGGAACCCAAGTTTTTTCCTTTTTATTCGTGGTTTTTCGTGGTCAGATGTTACAATACTAGACTACTGCCTATGTGTGTGTGCATGTACCTTCGTTATTATTTTTCTTCAAATTATTCCCTTAAGTGTTGGTGCTGCTGTATCAAGTGAATTTCCCCACTGTGGGATCAATAAAGTCTATTCTATTCTATGTGTAATCATCAAGACTGAAAAACTGTGACACTGAAAGAATAAGTCTGCAAGCAAGGGTGGAAGTTAGAAAATGTGAAAGTGTTGAAGGAAAGATGTGCTCTGAATAATAAACAGATCTGTGTTGATTTTATAGTTTCACTTTCAGACTAACGGCCCCTCAGCCTGTTTTCTATTGCAGCCTCTCTCACACACACATAAACAGTGATGCACACAGGCTAAGTGTGTCTCTTTATCCATGTATGTCCTTTATGGTGTAATTTACTGCCTTAAACTGCAGAGCGTGTTTTCTTCTCTCTCATATTGCCACCAATAACCAGCCAGACTACATCAGATCTGAATACAAATCGGCCTTAAACTACATCTCTGTCCGTCTCACCGCCATGACCGAAGAAAACATAAACGCTTCATCTGAAGATAGAGAACTCGCACGTAGTTTCTCAGTGTGCATTCATTCACATCTGGGCTTGCGAACACTCAAATGTCAAATCAGATGAGACTCACGATGTGCTGAGCTGTGGCGAAGCAGCTGTCAGTGATTACATCCTCAAGTAAATCTTGATCTGGGAGGAAAATAAGGTTAATATAAGCGTCAGCATTTTCAAAAAGAATTGTACTTTCTGATTTTATTTACCTGAATGCTGGAATGAGCTTATGTTACATTTACTAAGGTAAAGCTGTTTTACTGTAATAATTAATCTGTTGTCTGTGCTGGAAAAGCATTTTTTTTAATTAAATTTTAACAAAACTGCTGACAGTAAACATTCAGATCAGATTAGCACATATGGCAGAGAAAAATGTAACAAACAAAGTAAAAAAATCCTTCAAATATGACATATTTGTACAACGAGGCAGCAGAACATGTAGTAGTTTATAAGTGGCAACACTGGAATCCTGTGTTTCAAAGCAAACCAGTCAAAACCTGCAGTTTGAAAATAGAAAAAATGCTGGAAGTGCTGCAGGGGTGTAAGAAATTTTATCAGGTGCTCTCACTGGTGCTCTTCAGCCAGGGGATCCACATGAATGTTGGGCAAAAGGAGATCTGAGGCACTCAGGAGATGCAAAATTAAAAAACCTTCATTGGTGCATGGCTTAAATAGTTAAAAACGTAAATGCTAACGCGTTTCAGCCCACAGGGCCTTCGTCAGGGTTCAAAATGAGTCATCTCCTGAGTGCCTCAGCTCTTCTTTTGCCCAAAACCTGCAGTTTGTTTTGTCGGACCGTAACCGTCAGGAAAAAAGCAACATCACTGAGTTTGGTTTTGCAAATTTCAAAATTCAAGAACCTTTGCACAATGAGGATCCAATTGTTAATTAATTTAAATGAAAAACTTCAGTTGAAACTACATTTTACCAAATTTAGATATTTAAAATCAAATCAAATATTTTAGAGCTAAATCAAACTATTTGGACACTTAATCTACTTACAAATGCATGGAATCCATTTACAAATGAGAAAAATTTAAGCTACATATTTGCAAGGGCGTCAGTTTGTTTTCAGAATTGCTGGGGACAATAATCATACACTTGAGTGGGGTTTAAAAATTGCTGGGGACAATAAAGTAGGCTAGCACAGGGGTCGGCGGCTCTGGAGCCGCATGCGGCTCTTCCATCCATCTGATGCGGCTCTCTGTGCTTGTAAAATAATGAATGGATATTTAAATAAAATGCTTTATATTTTACTGCATTAATTTTACATCTGTATGCCAATTCTAAATGTAAAGATTGTCTGCGTAAACCTGAACAGTTCCAACCCGGTCTTACTGTGAGACCGGGTTGACGGGTCACGCTTGTGCGTAATCATATCGGCGCTTCCTGAGCTGAAGAGGATGTGAGATTCTGGGATTCTCCTCAGATGACTCCTGGATGTGTCGCCACATTGGAGACAGGAACAAGCACTATTCAGCCAAAGTTTCATAATCAGGGAACATTTTCTAAGTGACAAGTCTCTCTGAGAGACAGGGTTTGGAAAACGCTCGCTTCAGTGGGAGGAAGCTTCCCGCATGCGCTCTGGTTGTCTGGGTGGCTCTGGGGTTAATCAAGTTTAATTGTTTCTCTTTGCAACAATCTTCACAAGAAGGCAAAACAGTTAAACGGCAGGTTACAGATATTTCCATTTGACTGTTTATTTTGACAGATGAACTCAAGGATGTTGCTTGGTTTGAAAGAATTACCCCGACGCACACTGATGCGCATGGATGAGCTGACATTTTAATCGTTGACGCACATCGGGGAGGTAAAATATTCCCATCAGAACATCAGAGCTTTATACTGGACACTGTGTTCAGCGCGGCTCGGAGCGCCCACGGTGGACAGTGAGCTGAAGATCTGGTTCGCAGCGCAGTGCAGAACCACGGCGCATGCGATAAGATTTCCTCCCACTGAAACAGTCTGGAAACCCGGTCTCTCTGAGGGATGTGTCACTTGGAAAAATGTTCTTTTTATGAAATTATGAAAACTTTGGCTGAACAGCGCTTGTTCCCGTCTCTAATATGGAGACGCATGACGCGTAGAGACATTTGATCATGCACAAAGTTTATGTGGAGCAGAAGCGGTCGGGCCACGGCAGGTGAAATGTTCCTAGCCTACATGAAGGGAAACTGTTTAATTGTAACATTAATACGTTACTGGACACGCTGGTCTGGTTGGTTAGACCGGTGTTTGAAGTGGAAAACACACACACACACACACACACACACACACACACACACACACACACACACACACACACACACACACACACACACCAATTAAAATAATGCTGATAGCATGGACTAGAAGCCAGGTGATGGTTTACGTATTTAAATGATGATCAGGCTGCTGTAAAATGTAATCTCCATCCACATCCAGACACAATTATCATCTATTCTTTCTCTAGTTGCTCTGCTCTTGTCTGGGCTGATCAGCTGATGGTGCGCGCGGCGCGCCTAACTAGCGGCTGATGCACATTTTACGCATTTGGAGAGGTGGGCTGGATGCTTTGCGTTTACTGGAAGATGGTCCACTTAACGCACGGGTGTAGACTACATATTAATGACAAATGAATGAAAATTAAATTGTGAGTTTTTACTTCATATTTTATAAATAAAAATGACGGGGGAACACATTTATGACATCTTTTTAAACTAAATTTTCTAGCGCGACCTGCCTGCTTCACTTAAGTCACTGCTTATTAAGGTCCGTCCAAAATTACCGTGGGAAACGGGTAATAATGGCTCTTTGATGGGAACAGGTTGCCGACCCCTGGTATAAGATCTGAGCTGGTAAAACAAAAATCCTCATCAGCAGGCATTTTTGAAAGTGGGGGGGACACAGCTGCCAATCACAAATTTTGCCGGGGACATGTCCCCGGCGTCCCCGTTTAAAATGACGCCTATGCATATTTGGCTAACAGGAAAATTTAGAATGCTATAGAATAGAAGTAGTCTACAAAATAAAAGCAGGATGAAGAGATCCCCCTTACCAACACCTTAGTGTTATGTACCATTTTAATAATAAAATTTTATGAGTTAATTTCAACAAATAATCATTCTAGATTGCAAATTTTTACAATGAAATGAACTCTGAAATATTACATAATTCCGTTAAATTAAATTCAGTTTATATACATAGCGCCAAATCACGACAAGAGTCATCTAAAGGCTCCTCACACAGTAAACAATACAGTTCAGGTCATTAAGCCAATTAGTCAAAAGTGTCCTGTATAAGAAACCCAGCTGATTGCATCGAGTCACTGTCATTGACTCGATGCAATCCTCATACTAAGCAAGCATGTAGCGACAGTGGAGAGGAAAACTCCCTTTTAACAGGAAGCTAAAGGATCCTGGCTCAGTATGAGCAGTCAAGAATATCAACTATCAAGTATAAAACTGCTGAAATCATGTAATTTGATAGTGATTTTGTGCAAAGAATTTTATGAACATGTTTTGTCTCGATCATGAAAATAATATACTCCCTTTAAAATGCATTGCCAGTGGATGCACACCGTCCAGTTCTTTTTTTTTACAGTTTCATGTCTTCATTTGTTTATAGCACTTTACTGATTTTATGTAATATACACATACATCCAAAGCCATGCTACGTTCAAGCGCTCCTAAAGTAAACAGTGTTTAATAAAATGTATTTTTATATACTTAAATGGGTGTATATCTTATCTCCTCCCACAGAGACATCTGCTGCAGCTCAAGTGATTTGCACTCACTTGGAAAAAAATAACATGTGTGGCTACTACTTCATCTACAGAGTACAGTTGAAGGTGCTATTCAACAAGCAGGGACTGAAGTTCTGCTGCTTGACTGCTTTTCATTACAGAGATAAGTTAATTTCATCTTCACCGCAAAGGGATGGGCAGGCGGAGTCCCAGAAACATCTTGTTCACGAAGCTTGTAGATAGCTTTGTGAACAACTTCATATTGAAAAACTAAATATTCTGACTGATAAGCTAACAGCTTGTCTGAGCGAGGGACCAAGATTAAAGTGTGGTCTCTAAAATGTTGCAGTGGTTCATGCCAAAGCGAAGTCATAAATGTTGTTACTGTTTGTAAAAGCACCATCTTGGATCAGATGCATGACAGGATGCCCCAGAAAAGTGCTATGCCCTCTGTTGTCCTGACAGGGAATTGTTTTGCAACACTCCCCAGAAGACGGAGAAGTCAGAAGGCAAAACGTCTCCGTCAGTGCGTGCGCGTCTCTCCCTCACGAAGCTGACAGAGAAGCACATTTAGGCTTTAGCACCAGAGCTGCGACAGAGAAAAACCATACCGATGGCATCTGCTTTGGCGCTCGTTTGGAACAACTTTGGCATCGACTTTGGATAATTTCAACTTCAACTTTTCTTTGAGACTCAAGCAGATAGAGGTACTCAAGTCATTTATGAAAAAAACGTATTCGTATCTTCTTTGTTATCAGTGTATGGTAGACTGCCCTGTTGACTAACATCCACAGCAGTGAGTGCATCATGTTCTTTGCTCTGATTGGTCGTAGCGCTGACCAAATGCGTGAGGAGACGGTTTGAAGGACAACGTAGATTCCCGCCCCACGACCGAGCTCGGTCTAGAGGGCGTGGCCAGACCACATATTTAGGATGGCTTTCCAGGAAGCATGAAAAGTGTGTTATAAATATAGATTGTAGGTTTCAGGAAGAGTAAATGTTACATTTGAGCGTGTTGAAGGCGAGCTGGTAGGCTTGTTTCTGTGTGGTGTCCTTTCCACTCTCAAGCAGGACTGTGTTTGTCTTTTTCTCATAATGTAGGAGTTGATGTGCGACCGGCTTCTCTTTATGCAGCTGATGGAAGATGGCTGCTGCCTGGAGGAAGACCTGATCTGATGGAGGACTGACTGGGGAGGAAGAACAAAAGAATGAGATGGATTATGGGATAGACAGGAAATATGGAACATCAAGGTTAAGTGTTACTTCTTTTGGAAAATTGCTGTTTGGGTTAGATTTAATTTTAATACGGCCATGATAGACTGACTGATTGTCTGACTCAAGGATAAAGTTTCAGTTTTCTTTGTTCTTCTTCTTTGCTTCATTGGAAGCTCACGGCAGTTAGCTGATTGTAACCTGAGGCCACAGACGTCTTTCATTTCACAGCCAAAGCACCAACCTCTTGTTTAGCTCTAACTGTTTCTCTTTCATCGCATAATTGAGCCGAATAAACACACTCTTCACTTCCAGCTGAATTCCAACCATTATTAATCAATCCAGACTGCAATGAGCTTTGCATCAAACTGAAATTCTGGGTTGACTCCTACCTTTGCAGCGGGGCGATGGACGAGGCGGGGAAAGCAGAGAAGAGAGCTGCTGCCTGGGATTCTGATGGTCCTGGACCTCCTTTGCCTTCACAAAGTCCAAAGTCCTATCATCTCTAGAGGCGTCTGTACCAGAAACAGAATCAGAAGGGGTTTATGTGCGAGAAATCACAACATTAGGAATTTGCTGCTGTACTTGGTGCAAAAAGACAGATAAAAACAAGAGATAAGTAAATGTAGGAGTAAGAATACAATCATGATAATTAGAGTTTCCAGTTGTTAGATGTTACAGTTAGAGATGAGGAACAGTGGGAGTGTCTCCTTTTTCTCCTTCAAGGAATTCAATGCCGTTAATATTTTAACATTCACATTGACTCCTAGAAGTTTCTACCAAGCATCTACAGCAAAACCAGCATGGTGCTGTTATTTGAGCCCTGCTGTTGTAAATAAGAGGCACAGAAAGCACCGCGACCGACACACGATCCGCCCTCCACCTTTCAGTGACGATGACCCACTGCTGCTGTAATAGTGTGTGCAATCGGGCTCCTCGTGGTGCAATCAGACAGCCGCTCTGATGCATCTGAATGAATAAGCAATGAACTGCTGCCGAGCCCTGGACACAAGTCCAACTTTAATTGATCTGCTGAACTAATCATCGTGTCAGTGGACTAAACATTAACTTATGAGTCGAAGGACCGTTTTTCTTGATGCTAAAGCACGTTTCTTGAAATTTCCACGCATTTTCGACCAAATTCACAAAACCCCAAACTTTTCTGTCAAAATCAAACTTTCACCTCAAAATCAACGACGCTTTGTTCAAAACTGCGTTCAGATCACAAACACAGCAAGTAAAACTTCTCCAAAGAACATTCATCAAATTATTGGAACATTTATTGTCAGTGTGTTCAACAAAAAATACGCTGCTTATGAGGTGCTCAATGTAGATAACAAAAACAGAAAAAACACATAACTGTAATTCAGAATCATTCCACGTCATCGTGTTTTTGTCCACATGGTCTGTCCAGAGGATTTCAATTCAATTCAAAAATAATTTATTAATCCCAGAGGGAAATCGATTGCTGTAGTAGCTCAGAATAATAATAATAATCAAGTCATCAAAGAGTTGTTGTGTATTACAATGGCTGTTGGCAGGAAGGATCTCCAGTAGCGGTCAGCGTTGCAGCCAAACTGAAGAAGCCTCTGACTGAAGACACTCTTCCGTTGTCAGACAGTCTTGTGAAGAGAATGCTCAGGGTTGTCCATAATTTTCTTGATTCTCTGGAGAATCCTTCTTTGCATTATCTCCTCCAGTGGTTCTACAGTCGTCCCCAAAACAGAACCAGCCTTTGTTATTAGGCTGTTGAGCCTTTTCAGGTCCCTGCTTCTGATGCTGCTACCCCAACAGATGATGGCTGAAGAGATTACACTCTCAACAACAGACTTGTAGAAGATCTGCAGCATCTTGCTACAGACACTGAAGGACCTAAGCGTCCTCAAGAAGTGCAGTCTGCTGTGTCCCTTCTTGTAAACGGCTTCGCTGTTCTTTCTCCAGTCCAGTCTGTTGTCCAGGTGAACTCCAAGGAATTTGTATTCCTCAACCACCTCCACTTCTTCTCCCATGATGGAAACAGTGTTTGACTCCACCCTGTTTCTTCTGAGGTCTAAAATCATCTCCTTTGTTTCAAGGTCAGATGATTGTTCCCACACCATGCCACAAAGCGCTCCACCAGCTCTCTGTCCTCAGCTTCCGGTCCATCTCTGATACACCCGACAACTGCAGAGTCATCTGAGTATTTCTGTAGATGGCAGGTCTCTGATTTGTACTGGAAGTCTGAGGTGTACAGGGTGAAAAGGAATGGTGGCAGTACAGTCCCCTGTGGTGCTCCAATGTTAATGATCGCCTGGTTTGATGTGCGGTTCTTCAGCCTCACAAACTGTGGTCTGTTTGTCAGGTAGTCTTTCATCCACATTAAAGGCAATTTTTTTCCTGCTAGGCACCACAAGAAAAACATTCTGACATCCTAGACCTTCATAAGTCCTGCAAAGTTTCACACTCTGTTCACCTGAATCATCCCAAGTCTGCCGAGTTGGAGGACACGGTCAGTAATGTTGATTATGGGTGATGGTGGTGCAGGGGACAGGAGTTTGCCCTGTGTTTCATGGGTTGCTGGTTTGATCCCATGTTGAAGCAACCACTGATTTTTGTCCAGAAATATGCTACATTTAAAAAAAAATGTTTATCATCCATCAAAGTTGACACCGAAGTTGGATGACATTATTTTTCTAAATTCATGTCCGAAGTGATGCTTGTTGCTTGTTGGAAGAAAAGTCCTTCCAAGTCATTTGGTTGTCTTCCAAGTCTAGAAAGGTACAAACCACTTACAAATAACCAGTGTTGGGCAAGTTACTTCAAAACTGTAATGCATTATTTATTACTTGTTACCCTCATTTTAAAGTAATTCATTACATCACAATATTACTGATTTTAAAATGTAAGGCATTACACTACTTTTGCATTGCTTTAAGTTACTTTCACCAAAACAACTTCAATATGAATCTGGTAATGTGACTTTCAGCGAGCTCATGACATATATGTGGAAAGTGATGTGGTGTCTGAGCTAGGATTGCTGTTAAAAACAGTCAGATATAATAACAGTGCTTTAAAATGATTGTTTATTAAATAAAAACAACAACAATCTGTACTCTCAGCACGCTGCCATCTTATATTAACTGATCAGGGAGTGAGGTGGTGGGGGCTCCAAGCCTATATTTGCCTTGGTCCCCAAATGCCTTGATACGGCCCTGGATGTGGCACTGACTTCTGGGGTGATCTGATTCTATCACATCTATAAATATTAAATGCTTATATATTATTGCTTTTCACTGGTAAAAATGTGTATTGGGGATAAATCTACCTATTTTTTTCTTTTCAAGCACTTTGTTTTGTTTTCTTGATTTTATTTGAATAATTTCCTGCCCTTTCTCTCTCTAACCTTCCTGCATGCTGCATGTTTTCTCCGTCTTCCAGAAAAAACTGTTTCCTAGATTTCCTACTTTCTAACGATCAGCCAAAGGGATCTTCACATGCGCGGCGCTCCAGCAACAATGAGTTGAAATCACCGGGGCACAGATTATGAACTCAGCTGAGGCAAAGCACGTCAGAAAAGCACAAAATGCCAGAAAATATACGCTGATATGAACGATCGCAGGTGAATTATTTTGTTTTAGCGGAGCGATTTTGTGAATGTTACAGCGGCCGTGTGCAGAACGCAGCTGGAGTAGTTGAGCCGTTACCGCGGCGTCCTCTCTGCCTGCAAAGCTGAGTCCATAAATGACGTAATATATGCAGATACTGGATCTTTCTTCGGGTTTCCCGCTATTTGAATTTTTAAGGAACACATCTTGATTCTGGGTTTAAAAATGCATTGTAATTACAGCGTTTCTGACAATTGTACCGAGTAAATATTACCATTTTCTTTCCCTGTAATGCCTTACATTACCACATTACAGCAAAAAGCAATGCATTACAGTAATTAATTACTTTTGTACCGCATTACTCCCAACACTGCAAATAACCAGTAAAATAGTATTGTAATGTATAATATGATAAATGCTGCGATGCAAGTAACATTTAACTGTTCTCTTCTCTAAATGCCCTGATGATGCTTTCCACAATCTGCTCAGACTGGGCTTAACACTTTGTCCTTCTGTCCCCATAGTCGTCCAATGAATGAGGACAATAGCTGCCCAAATTTCATCAGTATTGATTGCTCATGGTCTTCCTTGTCCCCCACGTCTGACATGGACTCATCCTTCTCTGCCTCTCTGTATGCATTTTTCCATATAGATGCAAACCACTTTGACTTTTATCCTGCACAGTAGTCTGATCACATCTTTAGACACCGGCGTGTTGATGTTTGAGTTGCTGTGTGCAAAAGACAGCTGTGCTTTATGTGTGTTCACATTTCTCTGCCAGTGTTTACAGTTTTGCTGCACATATGTGGGATGTGTTTCATGTCTGGAAATGTGTTTTAGGTTTGGAGAAATGAGTGGCTGAGTTTTGCAGATTGTGTGGAAGTACCTGAGCAGTGCTGATCGAAGGTTTGGCTAAAAGTGTGTTTGGTTCGTGTGTAGTGGCATTTTCAAACATCTTGTGAAGCAGATACTTAGACATGGTTAGAAACGTGGAATTTATTCTGCTTTTACAACATTTTTCAACATTTAAACACAAAATTACCCAGGAAAATGTTGCTTGCCCGCTTCAGTGTAGATATAAACTAATGACGATCAGCCTGTTGTGATTTAACAAGCGTCACACAGTCTTTTTACGCTCTGCAGAGGAAAAGTCCACTTAAGAAGAGCAGCTCTGCAAGAAGAGGCTTCAGCAGCTTAGTATAATCTGCTCTGAGGATGAAGATGAGCTGTTTAAAGTTGCATAGCAGGTCTTACCGTTGTCATCCAGAAGCCTCTTTGTGGGAACGTCGCTCATCTTCACAAAGCACTGCAGCCTAAAGAAGACACTGCTGTTTTCTGCGCTTCACGCAGAATTTTCATTCACTGCATCAGTGACCTGGAGCACCTGCTGCCTCTCAACACCTCCCTGTTATGCATGACTTAGTTCAGGAGAGAGAGAGACGCTCTGTTCTGAGTTTGAACCACCATGGCAACAATATGTTAATGAGGGAGGCCCTGTTGTTCTGTGGCAAGTGGATGTATGTATGGAGCAAAACGTGATCTCTAGTGGATAGCATGTTATCTGCTCCCGTTAGCTCTGCTGGAGCACAAAGTTCAGATCAGTAAAATGGTAAATGTCAAGAATTTCTACAGCATCTTCTAGGTTTCTGGAACCCCCCAAGGCACTTCACAACACAATTAGCCATCCATGCTCACAAATTCACACACTGGTGATGAGCTACATTTTCACCACAGCTGCCCTGGGACGCACTGACGGAGGTGATTCTGCCATACTACAGCACCACTGGTCCCTCCGACCACCACCAGCAGGCAAGGTGGGTTAAGTGTCTTGCTCAAGGACACAACAGCAGTATTCTCTGCTGTGAGCCAGGATCGATCCTACAACCCTCCGATTGCTGTACAACCCTCTCTACCTCCTGAGCTACTGCTGCCCAAGTCTTGAGAAATCAATGTGACAGTAGGCTCTGAAAATATGAGATTTATAGAAATAGAGTTTAGGTTTTTGTCTCAGAGTTTTAATCCTCCAATGTTTCACAAGTTACTTTGCTAACAGACACAATTCATTCAACGGTTAACAGTAAAAATTTCTTCCGCTTTGACTCCCAAGTTTTAGTTTAGTATCTGAAAAACTGAGTGATAGACATTTTTGTCATTAGCTGTGGGGAAAATCTTCATACGGGCTGCCTCCAAAAGTTAAAGGTGCATGAAGTGAGGGTGACACCATGTGGTCAAATTTGGGTACTGCAGTCCATGTATCAAAACCACAACTGTTGCTAGTTACGGATCAGCACCAGAATATTCTAGATGATGAGCAAAGACGAGTCATACACAGCAAGTTGATAAGCAGATAAATACATTTCACTGTAATAGTAAGCTGACTATTGTGTCCAATTGACTGTTAGCATTATTAGCTTAATGTTAGCCTCTAGCCTTCTCTACCCCATATTAGAGTAAGGTCATTTGTTTTCACTTACTCACTCCTTTTTTGGCTTCCATTCTTTTTACAGTGCTGCAGCTTTTTGCTGTCCGGTGTCAAATTACAAATGTAGGGCAGACTTGGTCACTCTGCAGGCTGAAATATGATTGGCTCTGGAACCAGGAAGTATGAAGGCAGGACAGATGGTAAACAATGGATACATTTCAGCTCAGCCTTTTTAAAAAGAGAAAAACTGACAAGTTCCTGGCTGGCTGTGAAGAAAATCTGTTTCAGTGTCACCTCCCTTTGGGCTTATTTAACTGTAAAATTCTTACATAGTACACCTTTAAACAGTTGCTCATAGTATATGTCCAATAACATTTTTTATTTTCCTGCTGGACACTGTTGTGTATCACACCAAGCTTAGAATCCACTTTCAGCAGTAAAACTTTGAGACGATTGTGCAAAACAGCCGAACACAGCAGATTTACACATTTGCAAAAGGTTTGCCTTGCAAAGTAGATAAAAGCAATGAAGAAGTGTTTTTATTCCGTGAAAATCAAGACACAAACTTGTCTTTTTATAAATGACACTAATCTTTGTCTGCTTCATAGATATTTACTATTTTTTGCTTCACTGTCTAAAAATAGGCTTTCTCCTCAATAATCAGCTCATTTCTAAAAGAAGGAGCGTTGGTTGTGTCTTTCCCTTCCGGGTGTGTTTTATCACCTGGCTGAAAATCTGCCAACTTAACAGCTGTTGTGTTGACATCACAAACAATCCAGGTCACACATATTTATAGAAAACACACAAAAACATGAAAACTGAATCTGATTCAACAGCTTGTGATTTGTGACGGTTGAAACTAATGAGCATTAATTCATGCTGTCGCTCACACTGTCCAACCCCCCCCCCCCCCCCCCCCCCCCCACACACACACACACACACACATACCTGTCCAAAACATCCCCTCATGAATGATCTAACTCTTGCTCTGGACAATGATAAATTGTCTGGAAACTTATGTTAGACAAATAAAGAAAATAATACTTTGATATTGCTGTTGCAAACACACAACTACTACAAATTATTCTTATTATTCTTATTATGTCTGGTAATTAGGATTTGCCTTACTTTATTTATTTTTTGCTCCCAAGTGAAGTTAGGGTCATTTGTGGAAAAAACTTTAACACAAACACTGCCATAAACTGTATATCATCAAAAATCTGAATCATTTAGTAAATAAATAATAAAAAAAGACTTGTTAAAGAAAGACAACAGCCTTAGGTTTCAGATTTGGTGTAAAATCCTGCTGATGGGTTGACATCGACTGTAAATCAGAATATTTTGTGGATGAGAAGAGATTATTTTAATTTTAAAAATAAAATTAAACAAACCCTCTAGTCTACAAGAACTGTTATTTTCTACTACTTAAAGGTCTGGCAGATACATTAAAAGGAAACAAAAATTAAGCTGTAAGCAGTCAAATTAATGGGAAGTTGCAGCCCCGAAGGCTAAAAAACAGAAAAATGTGAAAATGACAATGCTGTCAGTCCCTGGAAGCATGTGCAGTGGGAAAACTATCACCCAACATTCCAATGGTCTGACCAACACTGCCTCCTTCTGATGGTCCAGGTAAACACATCCGCACCGAACAGGCTGGTATCCATCCAATGAAATGGAACGCTACAAATCCAGGTATGTTGTAATGATTTTCCCACATAACCAATCACTGTTGATCTAACCACAAAATGTTTTCATCTAAAGTAAAATGAAATGAATAATAAAATAAATGTGTATATTAATGAATTAAAGGAGGAATGCTTTAATGTAGGAAAACCTTTCACTCAAAATGAAGGAAATCGTTATCCAATCCAATCCAATTTTATTTATATAGCACATTTAAAAACAGCATGTCAGCTGACCAAAGCACTTCACAGAGTTAAACCTAAAAAGCATTCAAATTCACATACATAAACATAAAACACAAATTAAAAACTGTCATAAAATAGAAACACCTAAAATCAAAACAAGAGTTAAAACAGCCAATAAAAACAGAAGTCAGTAAAAACAGAAGAGAGGCACAGCATAAAAGAACGATCATTGGCCAAAAGCTAAATGAAAGAAATGTGTCTTTAGGCTGGATTTAAACTGTGCCAGTGAGGAAGCCTGGCGTACCACCAGAGGGAGTGCGTTCCAGAGTTTGGGAGCAGCAAAGGCGAACCACACGATCTTTATATTTACTTTTAGGGACTTTGAGCAGTATATGGTCAGCAGACCTTAGTGACGGGGGTGGGGGTGGGGGGATGGGGGTGAGCAACTCTGACAAGTATAAGGGGCTAGTTATCAGAAACACCAAATTACAACACGGCACGGCAAAGATAACTGGAGAAAGAAGATGCTGTGAAGAGTACTATATAAAGTGGAAGTCCCATATAAAGTTAAAGATTCGTTAATTTTCACGGCTTTATGTTTCATTTACTCCTCACTAATTCAACCTTTCATGTTATACTCTATAGAAATATGAGGATCAACCTTTAAAACACACCAACAAGTAATAAAAACTATACAAAAAGGCATTTTAAGTTGTAAACTAAAGAACTTATTATGCTCATACTGATCCGTTTAATCACGGGCTATGAAATGATCTACGGTATAATAACTTAACTTCGGTGAATATGTTTGTGTTTATAAATTTTGTTTATAGTCACATTGATGGAATTAAATATTTGATTAGTACGCAGGTTAAGCAATAATATAAGCAAATTATTTTTAGTCATATTCATGTGCGTGTATGTGGATGGTGTGTATATACTTATATGTGTATCTGTTAGTGTAAGTATGGGAGTATACAGGTGCTGGCCAGTAAATTAGAATATCATCAAAAGGTTGAAAATATTTCAGTAATTCCATTCAAAACGTGAAACTTGTACATTATATTCATGCAATGCACACAGACCAATGTATTTCCAATGTTCATTACATTTAAATTTGATATTCATAAGTGACAACTAATGAAAACTCCAAATTTGGTATCTCAAAAAATTAGAATATTCTGAAAAGGCTGAATATAGAAGACACCTGCTGCCACTCTAATCAGCTGATTTACTCAAAACACCTGCAAAGGCCTTTAAAAGGTCCCTCAGTCTTGTTTTGAAGGCACCACAATCATGGGGAAGACTTCTGACTTAACAGCTGTCCAAAAGACAATCATTGACACCTTGCACAAGGAGGGCAAGACACAAAAGGTGATTGCTAAAGAAGCTGGCTGTTCGCAGAGCTCTGTGTCCAAGCACATTAACAGACAGGCGAAGGGACGGAAAAAATGTGGTAGAAAAAAGTGTACAAGCTCTAGGGATAACCGCACCCTGCAGAGAATTGTGACGACAAACCCATTCAAAAATGTGGGGGAGATCCACAAAGAGTGGACTGCAGCTGGAGTCAGCGCTTCAAGAACCACCACGAGGAGACTCATGAAAGACATGGGATTCAGGTGTCGCATTCCGTGTGTCAAGCCACTCTTGAACAAGAAACAGCGCAAGAAGCGTCTCGCCTGGGCCAAGGACAAAAAGGACTGGACTGATGCTGAGTGGTCCAAAGTTATGTTTTCTGATGAAAGCAAGTTCTGCATTTCCTTTGGAAATCAAGGACCCAGAGTCTGGAGGAAGAGCGGAGAAGCACAGAATCCACGTTGCATGAGGTCCAGTGTAAAGTTTCCACCGTCAGTGATGGTGTGGGGTGCCATGTCATCTGCCGGTGTTGGCCCACTCTGTTTCCTGAGGTCCAGGGTCAATGCAGCCGTCTACCACGAAGTTTTAGAGCACTTCATGCTTCCTGCTGCTGACCAACTTTATGGGGATGCAGACTTCACCTTTCAACAGGACTTGGCACCTGCACACAGTGCCAAAACCACCAGCACCTGGTTCAAGGACCATGGTATCCCTGTCCTTGATTGGCCAGCAAACTCGCCTGACCTTAACCCCATAGAAAATCTATGGGGTATTATGAAGCGGAGGATGCAATACGCTAGACCCAACAATGCAGAGGAGCTGAAGACGACTATCAGAGCAACCTGGGCTCTCATAACACCTGAGCAGTGCCACAGACTGATCGAGTCCATGCCACGCCGCATTACTGCAGTTATTGAGGCAAAAGGAGCCCCGACTAAGTATTGAGTGCTATACATGCACATTCTTTTCATGTTCATTCTTTTCAGTTGGCCAACATTAGAGAAACAAACATTTTTTCATTGGCCTTTAGAATATTCTAATTTTCTGAGATACCAGATTTGATGTTTTCATTGGTTGTCACCTATAAATATCAAATTTAAATGT